CGATTGTGAGGAGTGGTGGAGTGGGGTTAATCATGTATATATTGTTGAAACTGCAGCACTTGTCCACTGGAACGTGCTGGTGGTTTTTCCCCTGAGGAGTTGGAGGAATTTCTGGTTCATATTGAGACGACTTTCGAAGCTAGCCAAAGCGAGGAACAGACCCGAAGTGTGAACACCAACATTGCGGTTGATGGGGTTCAGACCCGCAATTTGTTGTCACTCGAATCCATTTAGTTGTTTTTGGCAAACCCATAGCCCCTGGCCATACATATATATAGCCCAACATCTGTCCGCGCTGAGGTCCCACCTGCAAATGGATGGGCCGGCACCTTCGGTGGCGGGGTTCCGTGGTGGTGGTGGTGGCCACAGTGCCCCTGGTGGTGGTGCTGGAGGAACAGAAAAACCCAATGGAGTTCCAAAGCCCAGGCCCAAGAAACCCAGACCACCTGCAAAAGTTGCTGAGAGTAAGGCCAAGGAAGCCAATAACAAGCTTGGGGATCTCAAGAGTCTTCGCACCAAACTTGAAGCTGCAACATCTTTGCCCCTTGGGTTCAAATTTTGCTTTGGGTTGAAGCGACAACTGTTATTTATATGATCGGTTGGTGCTCCTTATGGCTGCTACAAACCCTAATGATCAGGTCAGATGGTACTCGCACCGCATTCCTATCAGACTTGGAGACCCACTATACTGCTATCGAGGAGGCAAGTACGGCTCTGAACAATTTGATTTTGCAGGGTGAAACCAAAGAAGAGATCTTGAAGCCCAAGTGTGACCAATGCACTGCGGCGATCGACGCTTTCAATCGGGCTTCGAAGCACATCAAAGGCTTTGTTGTTCCCCGGCTGGTTTCAAGTCTGGGTCCCACATTCTGCGGTACCTGCTTCGGGATGTTTCTGGTTTTGATTTATAAGAATCGTAGTCGAATCCTCGTGCCATGGCCCAAGGCGCCTGACAAGAATGCAAAGAAATGACGATGGTGATCAGTTACAGCCAATTGTGGGATTGGGCTGGTCGGGCTGAACCTGGCCATTTGCATGCGTGGGAACTGCCCATGCGTTTTTGGGGTTTGCTCGTAACCATCGCAGATGACCCATGGCCACTGTTGTTGAAAACTCAACTGAGAGCCTTCACGCATGCGCCAATTGATGTAGGGGTCGGTCTGCGTGTGGCGTACCTGAGTTTTGTCAAGCTTTTGCCAAACCGTGCGTCCATAGGAAAATCATGTTTGAGCTGGCTAGTCTGTTGGTCAGGACGACCCGAGCGAGAGAGAGAGAGAGAGAGATTTTTAAACATGGGTGTATGTACCAATCCCCTCGCAGGTGGTGAGCCAAGTCCACTGGTGGATCACTTGGTGAAATCCGTTGGACGCGGGGACCGGGCTGCATTCATGAATGAACGTCGTACGGAGTTCCTTCAATATACGTTTTCCAGGACATGAGCTTCAAAGCAATGCGTGCTACGTTGTGCGCCGCCAACAAGGACCCTATACATGAGCGTGCATTTCATGCTACTATTATAAGCGAGATACTAAAATGAACTGGAAAATAAAGTGAAATATAAAATCGATCCTTGGTGAGGAGATGGTGAGGCATGGGTCGTCTTTGAAGGGGCACGCCAAAAAACTTCACGATGTCGGGCGACAGGGTCTCCGTGCATCCAACATCCAAAGGGATACCTTGAGGTCAATCGACACCCAGGCCTGGTGTTTGTCATGATGGCAGGTGAACCACTTGTACGTACATCGTACATATACTATCTTCGATTTTAGTCGTCTGTACTGGCTGCACTGCAGGTCCCAATTGTGCTTATTCCAGTGCCTATGAAGAAATCATATCACAGCACCCAGGTTGTGGACAAGAGCCTTGCAATATATATAGCGCACAGGTTCTTGCAACACGTGCAACATCGAATCGAGGATGTAATATAATTTGCAAGTATGCGCATGACCTAGGATGTTGCCATGTGTGCTTCCACACATGCTGGTGGAGAGCTTGTTTGAGAATAAGAGGTGGCCAACTCAACTGATGGCTGATCGGTTAGACGGTGCTTTGTCAGAGTATTGGGACCACGTGTGTGCTCACACCTCTTGGGGCATGCAGCATGAGGGGCACCATACGCATGAACCTCTAGCTCTCTATGGGGATGACGCTGCTGTGAACAAGAATGGCGAAAAGATATGCTGCATCACGTTGTCGCATGTCTTGGATCCGCGAAAGAGCTCCATGCATAGCCTGTGGCCTCTTTGCGTGTTCAAATGCGTTCCTCAGTTGCATCTGTACTTGTTGCGTTTAATGTTGCGCACGTTTAGCCTTTTTCAATCTAGCCTTGTACTTGTCCGAGGGGCTCTCGCTTGGCTATCCAACAATTCAAGCTATAATGGGCCCCGCAACTTGGATGCAATCGTCCTTTTATCTTCATGCTTCATGTGGGGCATGTGTGTGTGTGTACATGTGTGCACAGCTAAGATCATCGCATCGTTGAACATTCTTTTCACTGGGGTGATGCCGGACATCCCCTTGGAGCAGCACATTGCAGACTTGGCTTTCACCCCCATGCGAGGGGACTTCAAGCCACCCTATAATCCTTGCAACTGCAAAACCCCTGTGCGGTGTTCCTTGGTAGAGGTCCGGGGTGATTGGAAATTCATCCGCGAGCTGTTCAACCTGGGAGTTGGTTGGAACTCACGGGAGTTGTGCCATCATTGCCATGTCAGTAAAGAGAGCTACTTGCAGTTTCCACCAGCTTTGGATCGTCAGCCGCGGAGAGACCTGGCCAGCTTCCTATCCACCACTAGGCTGATCAACGATCCAAGTTACTAGATTGCATTATAAAAATTATTAATTTCCTCGAGGTTTGTGAGCCTATGGTGATACCGATCTTGCAGCAAGTCTTTGCCTCTACGAGCTAGGTGAAGTGACCCATGCGAAGGGATTCCACCATGAGATGATTCGCTGGTGTACGCTCCACACACTACACCTTGGCGTGGTGAACTGGATTGTTGGCAGTGGTTTCCATATGCTGTTGACCCAGGACTTGACTACACGCTAACTCGAATATCGAACATTCATGAAAAACGCATGAAGAATTGGGTGGAAAACTCGCCACCAACATGGATCCAGCCAGGATCAACTGTGGGGTGGCTGCGCTACGGGCCTTGAGAAGAGGCTTTTTCACGCATATCAAGATTTCCATGGTTGGGCCAAGGCCAACCGTGTACAGCCCCCCCCCTTAGATCAATTTGGGTTGGCTAACTGTTTGACCATTGCATTGAATGTCTAGTCTAGCATCGGTGACCTAGGCATTCACACCCGTGCTTCAGTACCAAGTTTATCAGACCTGTGGACAACAATGCCCACATGGTGGCTGCAAAGGGTTGGAATGCACTTTAGCTGAATGTTGCATCACGCAATGCAGTGTGTATTTGCCACATTGGTTGCTATAGTTGTTGATCCAGGCCCGGGTGATTTTGGATTGGATGTCGAACTTTGTGTCCCAGTTCCAACACCCTGGAGACCGGGAGTGGTATTTGCTTCAGGGGTTGCTGCAACTTGTCGTGCAATGTCATGATCATAATCACTTGAATTCAAACATCGATCGCTACACTCACTCTAGATCTTTCTTGCCTGCCCACCAGGCAGAACATGAACCAGTTCATGAAGACCATCGAACAGGCGCCCCGCTACTTGCAGCCAGAACACGTGGCAGCGATGAAGCGCCACACTGAGCCTTGGATGAATCGGATCTAGACATCTGACATCGGCCTTGATTTTTTGCAGCTGCCGATCCAAGGATGTCGCTAGTGTGTGCTATGCTGAGTTGGCAGGATGGGCGTGCAGCAAATCTTTGTCGCTGTTCCCTTTGCGACCCAAGCTTCATGCACCTCCATTGCAATATGCATACCAAGCCAGGGTGGTCTTCTTCTTATTCTTCGTCTTCTTCTGCAGGTGTTTGGCTTCTTTTTCTTAAGATATTTATTATTCTTCTAACCTTTTGACCTTGAGGCGTGGATGGAGTTGACCTACTTTGCTACCAAGGAGTGCTGCTTGGCTATCTTGGCTATATCACTTTATCATAGATGTATATCTATATCTCATGATCGAAGAAATGTTTGATGGTGCCGTTTGAACTCATCTCCAGTTGCAAATGAGGCTACAACCCTCGCTTTTATCATACGTTCAAAGACGAGGATCTTAACGGGAAGTTGGTCCGTGTTCTGGCGTGCAATTTGGAGCAAGCAAACTTAACATGTTCATCATAGATCGCTGTTAGAACACAGCAAATGGTGTGAACCTGGAGGTATCGCGCGGGCTTCCCATGCAAAGACCATGGAGCGGACTTTGCTCACCAAGTACTACATGTGGGTCAACGCGAGCACAAAAAAGTTTGATGTTGAGACCCTCATCAGCAGAGTTTGTTATCCGCAACACTAGTTTGAGCATCGCACTGGTTGTGTCTCCCACTGACCCATGCATGTTGGACATAAGGACCTCAATGGCTATTGAAGATCTCTAGATCTCCATGATGAGGATGCAGAATCTGAGCCCTTAGTCTAATTTGACCCAAATTTAGTTGCAACCAGACCTTTCCCAGCGGACGCTGCAGCCAGGGAACGAACGTGTGGAAGTCAAAGTTGGCGTGCGGCTTGTGTCACTGTGTGCGGAGAGGAATGGGGAACCATTCTGGGATCATGGATATACCGTTCGTGAACCCACTATTCCCAAACGCGCCCACAGACGTGTTTTCAGCCCAAACGCGTCATGGGATGTGTTTTCAGCCCAAACGCGTAAATAGTATGTGTTTGGGAGCCTTTGGGAGTATATTCCAGTTACTTTTGAACCAAAAAGAACCATCTCTCAAGCTCTGACGTAACTTCCATCCTGACATCGACCTCCCACCACTTTTCAGCAAATCCGGTCGAAACCCGCACGTTGAGGATCTCCACGCACGCGCGCGTGTGCGCACGCGCATGCACCCGGTCTGACCGGTCTGACTTCGGCACCTTGGGATCTAGGAAGTCCTTGGCCGCGAAGCGGTGTCGGCCAAGCCTTGGACGGTCGCAGTCGATTGGCGCGAAGCGGTCGCGCGGCGCGAAGGAAGACGAGCGAACGACGGTCATCCGACAGGTCCAGGTCTCCCGGTCGAAAGGGCCGGTGGGTGAAAGGAGGGAGAGAGGATTTATGGGGCGCGGCATGTTTTTAGATATATCCCAGATATGGTGTGTAATTTTTGCAAAGCAGCAGGCTGTTGGCATAGTTTCTTTTCGTCCAGGCCTGAAGAGGTTCTTCAATCCAAATGGAGAGGGTGTATTAATCAAGAGTCTACCAGAGGCCCGAACCAAACCATGAAAAATACGGGTGTTCATCTACAAAAAGCCATGTTTTTTGCTAGGGCAAACCTAGGTTTTTGATGCCCTACATGACCTCCTGGTTTGGACCGGAGCTTTGGACCGGAACCGCGATCCAGAACCGCTGAAGAGGTGCAGAAACTCCACACCCATCTGGTCCCAACACACCCTTTGCGACCGGACACAGCGACAGCTCGGACGAACACAGATGGCACATGGTGGACGTGGATGGCATGGAGAATGGTTTTTGAAAGGAAGACGACGTCTTCCTTTAGAAACAGGGGGAGTGCCATCCTCTTCTGTGTTCGTCGGAGTGTAAGGAGATGGCTCGTTCATGCTCGTTCGTTCTTCACCCCTCCTCGAGTTCGCGGAACTCTCATGACTGCACCAGTTGCGCGAACGAGAACTCCGAACCGCTCCGTCGACAGCTCTTTGTTCTACCCAAACGCGCCTACAGCCCGACTGGTCCCCCAAAACCCTAGGGATTGGTTCGGGTCCGGACCCCTGACCAGTTCGGATTCAGGTCCGCCCCCTGAACGAAAAATCGCGTGGTCGCGTCGCAGGAGAATCTATAGGCCCCCCCTCCCCCAGTGTGCCGACCCGTCCGTCCCGTTCCTCCGCTCAGGCTTCGTGGCTGGTAGACCACCTGCTGCGTGACGTGCCGGCTCGTGGGAAAGCAGCAGGGCACGAAGGCAAAGCCTGCGACCTGGACCACGTGCGGACCAACCGGATCAAGCGTCTGCGGTCCAGTGGGTCATAGCCTACAGGTTAGTTGGAGCTCCTTTTTACTGGAGTTGGTCATAGAAAAACAGTACACAATGAACAATGTACCTGCTCGCTTGGTGAGAGTACAAGGGATATAGGTTGAAGCCTCATATGTCATTCGTCTGGAGAGAGGTCTGCGGACTGACTACCAGATGACTCAGTCCGAATCCACTGCGGCCCAGGTTGGCTGAAACCTGAAGTTGGCTTAACACGGACAGCAAGATGATGGGGCTCATATTGCCGGTCCCTCGGTTGTTCCAAACCGACCAACCCCTTGACCAGCCCAAAGGAAAACCATCGGAAGCCACCTTTAAGCCTTTGCGTGAAACAGTTGATCCATATGCTAAACAATCCATAGGATACATTGGGATGGTTGAGGGATCAAAGTAAGGAGGGATTTTGATCCAAAGCCCAATCCCAACTAAACTCCAGACCACTCAGAGCACCCCCACCAGCTTTCCTCCCGAGCCTTTTCAGGTTTACACAATACCTTCCACCTCGGAGCTACAGTCTTACCAGCCCAGCTTTGTTTCAGTGGATTTGGCGCGGTTGCTTACGGAGCCGGGAAAGAAAGGGAGCCACCCACAGAACAAGTAAGAAATCCGAAGCAAAACCGGGTCTAGGGACTTGTTCCCTGTTTTTCGGCCACTTGGCTGACAGCAACACGTTTCCCTATTGGATCCTGTGGACCTTGCGGTCCGCAACAGATGGAAAACAAATTTTATCAAGACAGGTGGTAGAGAGCCAGCTGCCTGATGGATAAGGCATTGTCTTGCAGACTTGCTTTAGGCTGAAGAACATTTTACTTGGTGGTTCGCCTCCACCCTGGCTCGTTTGCTTTCGTTCTTATTTGTTTGGTCGCCAATTCATCGAAAAGAGCTCAATCACCTATGGCTCGGTTTTTTCTTTCGGTGTTTACCCGTTCTGTGGTGTTGTTTTTGCGGCTGCCGGTGGCTTGCCAGGCGATGTTTCTCAATCGTTTTTGCTAGTTAACAGTTGTTTCTTTGATGCATAACAGTTGCCTCGGTGACCCCAATCCCATCCCGCAACAAGGTGAAGTGCGGGTTGGTTCCACTGTTTGCGGGTTAATTGTAACAGTGTAGTTGCCCGCCCGAAAAAACAATCAGAAGTGCAAAAACCACAGCTGTCCGCGTTGCATGCAGGCCCCACATTCCACCTTCCATGTTTGGAGAGAGCTTTTTTGGCAGCTATACCACCTCCCAAAGACTCTGCACCCTCCCACCCTCCAAAAAAGAACAACAATCTCCTCACAGCTCTCCCCCTCTCCACCCCTCTGGACCCCTTGACGCGGACCCGGCGCCTCGGCGTTCTCGTTGAAGAGTTGGGCGGCTCGAAGGCCCAACCTCAACGGCGCGAGTGGCGCGGCTCCGTTGGAGGGACGCAACCAACAAAGATCAACAAAGGAAGGTTTGGGGGGTCAATGTATAGCCATATATGATATATGGCCTTATATGGAGTGTCTGGGTTAGGTAAAGGTTCAAGAGCCCGAAAAAAGCAAATAGCACACCCAGACGCGACACGTCTGGAACTGCCATATGACTGGCGAGAAACGGCCAGGGGTGGGTGCCAGGTCCATGGGCGGCATTCCAGTCCCATGGAGTGTATGGGATAGGGTAATCCCAGGTGACGGGTCCTGCGTAGTTCAGGATGTTCAGGTCACTAAACCTCTCTTGACAAGAGAGTCTTGTCTGGCGCAAGCGGATCGAGAATCTCGGGTTCTGTTTTGTTGCGCATGTAGATATTAGTCTAAAGATCCAATATGATCCAATGTATGTGCATATATACACATATTATATATCAGGCACCCTCTTTTATCTCTGTTAGTCCTGGCGGTATTGGTTGAAAACTATGTAGTGATTCATGTTGTGAAAAGGGAGTATTGTAAAATAAAACAAAACAACCCTTTATAAAAGAGGGTGTCTGATATAATGTACAAATAGACCGCTGGATGTCCAGTTCGATTGTGGGGACCACCAAAGTAAAGGAAATTCCCGAAATCGGGTCACCAAAACATTTTAAGGATGGTCTTGGACTCCCGGTCGAAATGAGCCATTTTTGTAAGGGACAGTCACCGATCACATCAATTGAACTGATTATAGACTATGTAGACTATATGTTCATTGGACACCCCTTGGAGGGTCCTGGTAGAGTCCGATTCTTAAAAGGTCTTAAAATGATTTAACCCAGAGACTCCATGGGACTGCCATAGGACTGCCGATCTGGCGCCAGACCCCCCAAACCCACCACCCCTGGCCTGTTCGGCAGTCCGTCCTGCCAGTCCCATGGAGTGATCTTTCGGTGACCCGCCAGGGAACTTCCTGTACGATTCGGTCCGTTCGCACACAGCGTCGCACATCGAACCTAATTAGGGCGAACCGTGAACCGGAGAACCTACCTGGACCATCCGACCAGAAGGGGTGTCCTGGCTGGACTACCCTGCACTACTTAGTAGGGATCTCCAGCCAGCACACCCAGAGGAAGGTTTTGGCATCAAAAGACTCCAGCTTGGATCAGGTGTAGGAAACACTCACGTTCGACACCTTGGGCGTTCGACCCGTTTTGCCGCGGTCCTCTTTTAAAGAGACGGACCCGCCACACGTGGCCGCCCTGATCAGACAAACAACGCTGGCTCAGACCCGCCACACCGGTTCGGACCCGAGGAAAACCCGGGTCCACCGTTCGGTGACGCGTCCCAGTTCAGGTCACCGAACCCGGCAAGATCCGCCCGACCCGAAGGAAACCGCGTGAAGGCGGTACGCGTCGCAGGCGTACGCGAACTCGGTGCAGCCGATCGGTTCGGGAGAAGAACCGGTCAAGCGAACTAGAGCCGTGTCAATGTGTCCCCAATCCCAAACAAAAAAGCTATAGCTGTTAGGGTAGGCCAGGGTATGCACTTTTTCCATCCTTTTTCCTGGCTAGGGCAGGGGACGGTCGATTGGGAGTTATCTTCGTGTGTTTGGTCAGGGGACGGTCATTCAACAACCCCACAAGTGGGGTGGTCATGCCATGAATATCCATAAATCCTGAAGAGCCAGGATACGGCCGACCGACTCTTGCCAGAAACCTGATCAGGACTCTGACCGTGGACTGGATCATACTCGATCCGTCCGCGCCCAAAAAGGAAAACCTTTTCCATCCCAGAGGTTGAAGGACCCATTTATATATATATATATTATTACATAGGTACAGGTACCCCTGCAGTAATTATGGTCCTATTAACGGTCCCTTAACCTCAGTCCTTTTCCTCCACCCGCGGAACCCACCACCGAACGCCGGAGATCGACCCGCCGTCGTCTGACAGCTTCGCGTCGTGCGCCGGGCGTCGTGTTGCACAAGTGGATGCCACACGCGAAGATGGGCCTCGAGCGAAGATCTTCACCTCAGCTCAGATGGGGAACAAGCTACTAATTAGTAGCTCTCCTGGTGGAACAAGGACAAAAACGAACGGAACATTTTGGGCATCGCGACTCGAACGGAGCGATCGGACGCTACACGAGTAAGTAGCTCCTGGCCGAAACTACGAACAAGAAGACGCTACGAACGTAACGATCGGACGCTATGGGTCGTGTCGTGACCCACGAGCCCAGAAGAGACGAAACGACCAGGTCGCCCGGAACCAGGTCGGTCAGTCGTGTGCCCGGAGGGATCCCAAATCGGCATCACAATGGACCAGCACTCGACCAACGAATACCCAGACACGACACGTCTGGGACTACTGGACTGCCTTCAAAACGGCCGCCGGGGTGGTGGTGGTGTGAGGGAGGTCTGGCTTGATCGGCAGTCCGACATGGCAGTCCCAGGCAGGTCGTGTCTGGGATTCCTCCTGGGGCATCGTATTCGGTCTGGTGGACATGAGGCGATATGTTGATCGAGCTCATCAAGTGGCTGGCATTTCTGGGGCAAGCTTCAATTGCTTGGGCACTTCGACAGAAAGGCTGCACTGTCAGGGTACTCGACATTGCTGAACAAGGATTGCTTTGTGTGCCAGGATGTTTGCAAGTAAGTACTGCACTATATGACCGACCTACCCAGTCGGTCGTTCGCCGCATTTTCTGGACCAGGGCTCCAGGTTGAACGCTCCATCCCCAAATACCAAATACAAACACTCCATGTATGCCATATATGCCGAACAGTTGGGGTGGTTTGGGGGGGTCAATGTAGGCATATATGGCATACATGGAGTGTTTGGGAGATACAGTACCATTTCAACAGATGTGTCTGAGCATGCAACACAAAAAACTGTAGGACCTGCGAGGGAGTGACTCGTACGTGTCGACAAGACACAAGACTACCAGTCAGTTGTAAAGCGACTGTACAAGGATCTGTCCAAACAAAACTGATCCTGTGGATCGACGTGACTGACCAAACAAAAAAGAAACATGAAAAGAGAGGTCTCTGGATTATAGTGGATTGAGAGTAGATGGCACAGACCCCAATGTCGGTGGTTTAGGACTGGACCCCTATATAAAGGACATCGAACCGGGGCTGTGCCATCGAACTATCGAACCTCTGAAACCACTGTGAGAGAGACTTATGGCTCGTTAGACCTCTGAGAGTCGTTCGAACGGAACGAGCTCAACACCGGTAACATGTTCGAACGCGTTCGAACGCTCGCCTCGATTCACTCTGAGAAACACCTCACATGGAAGTGGAGCTCCAGAAAAACCGGTGGGCCATCCATGTCCATGCGAACGTGAGGACTGCGAATCTACACAGTCAAAACTCCCGTGCCGTGCTCCCCCCAACCCAAAAAGTCGGGCTGAGCGCCGAATTTAACCCGACCGATCCCGTAACAGCCATGCCGGTCCCTCTCCCACGCCCTCCCCTCCTCCCTCATTCAATTCAAATCGGACCAAAACACTGTGCAGGAGCCTCTCAGCGATCTGATTCAACGTGTTCTTCCTGCGCTTCTTCGGTCCGAACGGTTAATCGACCGACCGACCGTAAACCGAGGGGTGGGGGGGGGGGGCAACAACCTACCGACCTACCGACCGGTGGAATGGTCGTTTTCAAGGGGTGGACTTGATGAGAGCTCGACATGGGCGAGCCCGAGCGAGCGAGCGAGCGATCGGCGATGGCGCCCAGAGGTTCGAAGCGGTACTTCTTCCCTAAAAAGTTCGCTTGGTGGACGATCGACCTTATACCCAGACACTCCATGTATGCCATATATGCCGAACAGTTGGGGTGGTTTGGGGGGGTCAATGTAGGCGTATATGGCAGTCCCATCAGTCGTGTCTGGGATATTAGTCAGGGTGAAAACACCGCCGCACCGTTCAGAGAGAACTCAAAAGGCTCCGCACCATGTGGAAGAAGGTGGCGGAAAATCCCGTATATTTTGGCTTGTTTAGAGAATGGTGTTTGCAGGATTGGATAGTGGCCTTAAGGTCTGTCGCTCTTGATTGGAGGAGCGCCATTGCAGTTCATGGTGCTCAATGGTGCTCTTTTTCTGCAGGTTGATGTTGGTTGAAGAGTGAGAACACGATTATATAATTGAAATCAAGAACTCTGGCTTCACCAAGCATGTCATAGGCTACACCGGGTATAGTCTCGGAATCCAGGATCTGTTCATGGCACCAAACAGACTCACCATGACTTGGCAAATCGCGAGGGATGCGTGCGAGGGATGCGTGAATGGATTGGCGACGATCTTCGAACATGTTCGGGTACCAGGACTATGACAATGTTCCTTTTTGCGCTTGAAGAACTGCAGTGACAATAACAGTGAGAAGAGCGAGTTCGAGCTCCCCAGAAGCCCCAGAAGCCCGATAGGAACATCTGGGGATACTCTCCCTGGAACTAACATGGAAGTGGAAGACCCTTTGCTTGTAGAGGAATATGGTCTTCCATGGGGCCATGTTCCACTTCCATGTTGGTTCCACGGCAGTGTAGATTGATTTGGGGATATGACTGTTTTACTGGGATCAACGGCCTGTCCCTTGATGGCTCCGCAGGTGGGGAGAGACGGACATAGGGTATGAACACACAAATGCACCTTTGCCAACCTTTGCCCATAGAGGGGTGTAGAGAAACCTCCAACCAATGGGTTTTGGTCGATGCCCTTTCTTCCAGTGGTCTTTGGGAGGTCTCCCTATTCTAACACACATCCGTTCCAAACTCTTGATTCATCTCAAAACCATGAGTCTACATGACCCCCCAAACCCTGAAACTTCACGCTCCAAACACGACCTATACCTCGCTTTTCTTGGCTCCCACGAAACTTCCTTGTCACCAATACGAGATACTTGCTTGCCAGTTCTCCAAGGGGCTTTTTCAGGTCCACCTTCAAGGTGTACATGGGAATCGGCCACCTCACTCGACCGGTACCGGTCCTCCCAGTCGCGACCGGTCATACAAAAGTGGCAGGTCCATCATCCAATGTCTAGCAGCTAGTCTCGCTGTTGGTCGCCAGTTGAGAGTGTCAAATCTTGTTGGATCAATACCTTGAAACCAGAGCGTAGACTGTTCTGCAACATAGCGACAAAGAGATAGAAGGCTATGCAAAGGTAGCCACTCACATGCCATAGCATATCTAGCATTTTATCAATGCACTACAGAACCACGCAACCGCACTCACACATAGCTTATGCATACTTATGCTGCATGCCAATGTACCTGGATCTTTATGCTGTTGGACGCCCAAAAATCGACGCCTTAAAACGTCACAAATGTGCCTGTTTCCTCCTCGTGACGGTCACCTTTGGGGAAAGAAGCTGTAACTGCATGTTGTCTGAAAAAGCATTGTTTCTCAAGTTACAGCTTTCGTCAAACAGTGCCACCACGGAGTTAGGATGCACAGACTTGGGTCTGACCATGCTGCTGCAGCAACCTACCGCAAGCCTTCAAATCTACTCACACTCACCCAAAGCCGTCCATTAAAAGGCACGGTGTGTTAGCACAGTTTCTATCAGTGTCTACTTTGCAGCAACACGTACCGACAGTCTCTTGGTTGCCAACCTATTAGAAATACATGGTGCCAATATGTGCCAATGATACTTTGCTGAAAATTGCAGATCAAAACCTGTCTGGCATTGAAACGGGCCTTTGGCGGGACCTTGGCCCCAAAACCCACCTGTGCCAGACCAGTCATCCACCAGCCGAGCTCACATGGTCCGTGCTCCTCTGCGCGGAAGGGCGATGCGCCAAGCCGCGGTAGCTTGTAGATGTGTTCCACCGAGGTGCTTCCGCTGGAGTTGTCCACACCTTAACCGTGTCCCCACAGCGCACCGCAGCGCGCAGCACCGCACCGCGCAGCACGTCCGGAAGCAGCGACCGGGACCCCGCGACCCGAACCCCGGGTCACGCTCTACGCTAGACGCGCAGACCGTGGAAGCGTCCCGTGAACAAGGCGTTCGGGGAACCTGGGGAAGCCGAAGCTGCCCCTTGTCCCACCAATCATGCGTTCGGGAAAGAAGCGTTCCGCAGCGGGGAACACCGGAAACTCGATGCCTCGGGCCGTTTCGATCGATCGACCCCTGAGGAGATGAAGGTGGGCCAAGACTTCCGTTTGTGGTGGTTCGTGGGGTCACTCCCCAAAAGGGCAGGTGACCTGCATGCAGGTGATCTCCACACCTATCACTTCGAATTCGGGAGTCTGGAAAATTCGACCAAAAAAAGCAGCCCGAGCCGCGGCTACCAAAAGAGGTTGAAGAACCCGTTTTTGATCAGCAGGGTCCTAGAAGGTCACTTAGCTTGCTAGGGAAGGTGTTTGTTTCTTGTGAAGAAATTCGGTCAGGTCTCTCGTGTGATCGGGCCAATTTGAGACAAGGCATTTTGTCGTAAAAAGCATCGCCTCCCAAGCCGAATTCATCAATCGATCTCTGGACAATAAGGTGTTTTTGTTTAATGGTACATGGAGATGTAAACTGTTTTTGTTTTTTCTGGAGGGGGTTGGGTGTTTTCTGGAGGAAGGCCATATGAAAAAAGAAACGTGCAAATGCGCACGATTGTCCAAGTCCAAGTGCAGGCCAGATGCCCATGTTGGGATAGCTCATGTCCTCAGAGCAATAAATTTAAGACAAAGCTTGTTCTTGCCCGTAAATTGTTTCGTGATCCTTAGTGACTTAGTGTCAGTAAAACATACACCGCACCTCGTAAAGCCAACATGGAATTTGAAAAAGATACAAAACGATAACAGACTGTTTCAGGGAAAACTCACCTTGGAGAGGGGCCTGCCGAAATGTCCATGTGTGTTTTGCAGATCACTACCCAAACACTCTGGACTGCCATAGGACTGCCGATCAGTTGGGGTGGTTGATCTGGGGGTCTTTCTGGGGCAGAATGTATTCCAGTCACTGAGGCGGTTTTCTGGGGCGGGGTTCTGGGCTATAGTCACACACCCACACACTCCATGGGACTGCAATAGTATGCCGCCCCGGAAAGATCCCCCTTTCAGGGCAGTCCACGTGTCGCTCAACTCCCGGGACAGACGGGACAGACGGACGAGTTCCTTCGTGGCGAACCGGCTCCTGCGATGTGCGGAGATTTCCTCGCCAGTGCGTGCCAAGTCTTTGGTCCGTGTCTCCCGTTCGTCCAAGACCGCTGAAAAAATCGTTGACCTGGTGTTGCAGTACAATCTTTATAGAAAACCTGTTGGTAAGACATAGTCAAACAGCTCGGTTCTACGGAATTCCGCGCCCCAAAAGAAAACATCTATTGCGTGTGGGCCTGGCCCCTGGCAGTCGCAGCATCCGGGCAAATGCAGTTCCGATTGAACCATGGAGCCTCCTCTCCCGATTGAACCATGGAGCCATCAGGCAGAATTCCTTGACCTTCTCAGGTGGCAGCAACTCTGCCAAAAGCATCGAGAGGAATCTCAGACATGCGAAGCTGCGTGAAGCTGCGAAGCATGCTGGAAGTGTCTGGTGGAGTGGTCGGTTCCAAAGAATATCGGTCAACCAGATCAACCGAGCAAGAAACACCTGCCCAAACGCTCATGGGCCCTCATATGGAGGGGTCTGGGGTCTCAAATCCCTAGGTTTTGAAGGACCAAGGGTTGTTTGGAGCGTCTGGGTGTGTGTTTTTTAGCGTTTCTGAAGTGTGGTTTCAGTTGGTTCCAGTATGAATATATGTTTAACCCGGATGTAGTTCGTTGCTTCCCAGTTTGTTCCATGCATGTCACGCCTAAAACCTGATTGACCATGATTGACCACTGTTTTGGAGCCAAAACTTAGTCAACTTCCTATCAAAGCAGTTCGGTCATGCCTGGGTTCGGTTCGGTAAATCAAACTGATGAATGAACGATGAACCCTGGACCCTCGGTGTGGTGGGTCCCCATCGTTTTGGCCCGGCCGCCCTTGTTCAATAAAGGGTTCACGGCCCTTCCTTCATGGCTCGTCGCGTTCGCAAAGGGCTCACACGAGCCTTTCTCCTCCCGAAGCGGCGTGAAGCTGGAACTCACTTACCAGTTGAAAAAAAATAGAGAAGAAGCTAGAATCAATGGCCCCCAACCTAAGAGCCATGGCCTCCAACTACTAGCGATGGCCTCCAACCTAATGGCGATGGACTCCAACTACGAGCGATGCCCTCCAACCAAATAGCGATGGAAAAACTTAATTTGTCAAACATACCCCCAAACTACACTCACACTGCTGGTGTCCAAAGTCAGATCTGCTGCGCTGTCCTCCTTGGCACAATCCTCATCCACCCACACCCATGCAAAACGACGAGCCACCCGTAGCCAGCGCCCAGGTCCAAAATGCAAGCCTCGCCACCCGGGATTGTGCAGTGAATCAGTGGAAAGCAGAAACGGAAGTCTTGGATGGCTGCCCAGGAACCTGGAAAAACAGAAAGATTCGATAGAACGGGATATACCCATATAGGGAATAACTGTTTGAGTATAAGCAAAACCCTGCAGGATGTTGTGCGTGTGGAGATGAAATAGACTTCGATTACGTAGATTGTGTGCTTGAGGACATTTGAAGGCATGTGGTGGACAATCGCAAGAGAAGAGAGCATGTGGTGAATGCTCTTCATATGATTCATTCGTCAATCCCCTGTCCAAACTCATGTTCTCTCGGCAAACCGCTGCATCGAATCGGATCCAAATCTGGTCCAGCAGTTCCAAAAGGGTACTATCATATTACATGGCTATGAGTCAAAAACCATGGGAGCTTGGTTGACCATAGAAAATGAACAGAATAGACTACCGGGGACGTCAACATACCGGGTGAGTTCCCGGCTCCAGGTTTTGACCCACTGCCGGTGGCTCCAAATGGAGACCTCCCAGGCAACGATCTCCTGGAAGGTTTGGATAATAGACCAGTCTGCCCGGCCAGGGCCAAGGGGGTCTCCGACAGGTCACCGCTTGAGACCGGCCGCCAGCACTGACCATCCCACTCTACCGACGCCCACCGACCCGCCCACCGATCATGGCGAAAGTGCTTCGCGCCACCACGCCACGCGCCAGCCCGCGCCACGCGCCACCGCGGCACCGCGAAGCGCGCCTTGGGAGAACTGCTGGGCAAAGCTTCGATCCACTCCCGCACGCGTTGAATCACTGGTGCTGATTCGTTCCTCGGTCCGTTCGATTGCACTACATGCGACTGGAATGCTGCCCATGGACCCCCCAGGCAGCCACCCCTGCGCCGTTTCTCGGCAGTCATATAACAGTTCCAGACGTGTCGCGTCATGGGATTCGTCTTTTTCGGGTCCTTCAACCTTTACCTAACCCAGACACTCCATGTATGCCATACATGGTTGACCCCCAAAACCACCCCCAATGTAGGCATATATGGCATCCATGAGAACAGTCATCTGGAAATGACTGCAGACCAGCCTTTGGGGTGTCAGGCTTTGTTGGTTGCGCCCCTTACCGCGGGGACTTGCGCCGTTGAGCTTGGGCCTTCGAGCTGGCCAACTCTTCAACGAGAGCGCCGAGGCTTCGCCGAAGCGAGAGGGGACCGCGAGAGCTGTCTGCGACGGGGCAAACAATGGAGCCAGTTGCTTTCAACTTCTTGCTAAGTTAAGGACTCCGGTCAGCATGGGCAAGTTCAATGCAATGAGCGCCACCGAACACAAGCGAAGATTGAAAACCAAAAACAGCAAGATAAAAATGTGCGACCAAACAAATAATAATGATAGCAAACGAGCCAGGGTGGAGTCGAACCACCAAGAAAAATGTGCTTCAGACCAGAGCAGTCTGCAAGACAACGCCCCACCCATTAGGCAACTGGCTCTGCAGCTTTGAAAAAAAAAAAAGCAAATTTGATTCAATGTTTGCAAGATACTCAAATGGGTGGGTCTCTGCACATCTTCCTCTGGTGAAAGGCGAGCGCCGCCAAATATAGCTTATCGCCAGCGAGTGGAGTGAACAAGGGCGCGTCGATTTGCAAAGGGATACTATCGATGGAGGTCAGGGGCGCCCTTGTGACATGCACTCACTGGATGGGACTGCGTCGATGAAGTGGTGGCTGCGGCTACGGCCCCATGGATCCCAATGTGCTTGTTCATGCTTTTTCTTTCTATCGTTTTCCCATTGAATGAAAAGAGGTCTGTTCTTGGGTAAGTTGGGAAGTTGCTTGGAGGATGCTCATCTTGACAAGCACTGCCCACCGAACCATGCCAAAGCCGAAAAAATTCCCCAAGCTCCAGGAACCCTTCGACTCTGTCCGTGCTCCGCCTGCTCCGTTCAAAGCCAGGCGTCAACTCCTTCAACACGCTGGGCACTTGGTGTGCCGAGCCCTCCGGTTCCGCCGAGGGAGGTTCCGCCGGTTCGGATGGAGCGGTTCGGACGGAGCGGTGATCCAAGGCTTTTTGGATCTGTTTTGTTGGGGGTCTCCGCTCTCTTGGGAACTCCAAAGGATTTGATCGAGCAGTCTTGGGAACTCAATGGAACTCATTTATGATTTCATATGAATACCAGCACCTTCCAACAGATCTCCTCTGGAGGCTTTTGTAGACTTAAAAGTCGCAGGGGTCAGGGTATATGATGGCATTCTTGATCCAGGATCACTTCAAGGCTCTCATATCGCCACGATCCATGTTCTCGAGCTCCTGGGGCTCAATCCAGCGGTTCCTGCACACTCCCAGCTCGACTCGAGGTCCTCTCGATGCCTTGCAGATCTTCATCATGCGGCTCCAAACCTTCAAGGGGAGCCGCTGGTACCACTTCTCCAAGATCTCCATCACCTCCCGAACGAACCCGAACGAACGAACGACTTCGATATACTACGACGACGACGTCGACGACTGGACGGTCGAGGAAGGAAGGAGTCGTCATGGCGACCGGCGGTCGACCAGGTCGTGGGTGATCCGAAAACACGAAGACAACGGACACGTTGCGACTGGTGCGGGAGATGGGCGTGGCCATGGGCTTCTTGGGATGGGCTTCTTGGGTTTAGGGACACCCAGACAAGTCCGGACACCAATGGGACCAGCTCGAAATTGGATGACTTGTGTGAAGCTGAAAGATGTGAAGATACATGCACGCAATGAGATACATGCAGATGGCTTCGAATCCATGTTGCTTCGATGGTGCTGGAGCACGATAGTTGTCTTTGATCAATATATACGACTTAAAGGAAACATCCCAAAGGTTCAAGTCTCCTTTCATGGATCCCGACCTCCTCGCAGAGCTCAGGGAAAAGCTGATGCACTGGCAACTTCTCCAACTGCTCCTGGTCGCGATACAACGATGGTCGGTGACTGGAAGAACCTTGAAGTATTCAACTGGGTGTCTAGACTAAGTTCCTTGGTAGCTGAACTGCTCCTGGTTCCCGGTCGACAGGGCTCGACAGAGGTCGGTCGACAGAGCTCGGTCGACAGAGGTCGGTCGACAGAACCTGAGTTCAACTATCCCAGTTGGATACCCCAGAATGGTTCTATTTACTTGTATTTTACGGTCACCTGACCTCTCTCGGAATTCATTTCCACATATAGAACTCCATTAAGGTTCGGCTCTACAGATGTGTGCCATGCTGTCCACCAGTCCACCACCTCCGACTGGATTCAGTGAGAGAGGTGCCGGGTGGACGGGGTGGACTACGAACCGCCCACTACGCTACGTAGGATCTGGATTCGACACCACTTTGGATGGTCTAGTGTAGGCTCTTGATTTAAAAGAAAAGACCATCAGTTAGAGGATGTTAGAGGATGTTAGAGGTTTTACCATCTAAGTGAATCTAAGTGGGTACAAGTATTTTTGTAACTCAAGTCTAGAATAGCATAGAATAGCTATTAAGTTATGATCCTGTCCTCTTCTTCTGTCACCCCGCTCGCTCGAGCGACCACGAACGATCCACCAAGAGATCGAGGTTCAGTGATGTGAAGAGCGAGTCGAAGTGATCGGGGACACGGTCGACCTGGGACCCTGGGACCCTTCCGAGTCGAACCAGGGAAACCTGTTCGTTGGCAGTTCTGTTGACAGTTCTGTGTTCCTGGCAGAATTCGTTCTGCGGCAGCAAGAACGAAAGAAGTCCAAGTCACGATGATCCGAGCGACTGGTCAAAGAAAAGTTCGGAGTTCATGAGAACCTCTAGCTTGTTCATGCCCTGGTCGGGTAATCCCCTCTATAAATCAACCATATTCACAAGCAAAAGGCCGGTGCCCGGTGGAAGGTCACCATGTGCTGATTCTAAAATTTAGATCAGCCAGATGAAGCTGCATCCATGTTTGAATCAGTTGCTCGAAATCCATTTTCAACCTGCCAAAGTCCATGAGACCTGTCTATACCTTGGAATTTGCTTATTCGGAACTCGCAGGAAAGTAAAACTTCCCCAGTCAGGATTGGGATCAATAAAGCAACCCTAAGGGCGCAAAATCAGGATAACCCATGTAGTAGCAATCTCCACATGGGTGCGTATTCAATTAGGAAGACCTCCCACTTCGACCCCCTTTTTCAGTTTGGAAAATAGATCAGTCTACCAGTCTACCCATTGATTACTCAAATACTCAAATTCACAGCCATGAAAAAGCAATACTTACTTCGGTGTGTTCGCTTACATGTCCATCGCCTTCAGAGCTCTTCCTTTCTAGTTCAGCCTGACCTGGACTGCCTGAGGTCGAAAAATACACCCCACCCACCTCCGCGCTCCACCCTCCGCGCCACCCGCGCCCCACCCGCGCCTTCAGCTGCACCGGGCTCCAGCGTGAGCCGCCCGCCGCTGGCGCCTCCAAGGGCCTCGGAGGGATCGGACGTGTCGATGGATTCAACAGGGCTTCTGCAGTTCCAAGCAGAAACAATTCTGGTTGGAGCTCAGCAATGTTGAGATATGTTAATTCATTAGTGGTATCATATAATAATGTAAAATATATACTATATAGTATAAATAGATAACATAATATAAAATATGTATAGGATTTGGCTGGGACGGACGCATGCATGCATGTGTTTCTGGTCGTTTCTGGAAAACTCCATCCCAACAATGATCTCTCAAGCAGTGACCGGGAAGTGTTTTAAAATCACATGGTCCTCCTGGCACCAAGATGCACTGCCCAAACGCTCATGGACCCTGATATCGACAGGGGTCAAACCCGAATCCTCTGGAGGGGTCTGATGTTTCGAAGCCAATCCCGTCAAGGGACCGGTCGGACTGTGTAGGGGTCGTGCGCACGATGACCTGTTGCCTCCATGACCTGCAGTGCGATGTGACCAGTGCTCCACCTCGTTGGGTGCACAAAAGTCGACGTTTCGATGGCCAGGGCCTGCGGTGCCTGTTGAAAAAAAGAGACGACACATGTGACGCGCCAGTTGATCCACAGTATGGCAAAAAGACATATCATAGCGTGTCACCAACATGTCCAAAAAGAACACGCAATCCATCGAGCCATCTAAAGGTCTACCAGGTCCATCTAAGCTGCCGATCAAAGCGCTGCTTCCCCACCGGTCTGAGTCTACCTCTTCGCCGAGGCACGCGGAGACCGTCTCCGGGCGCACCTCCGCTCCACAGAGCGCTCCACCGAGCGCTCCGAGCGCATCAGCGAGGCTTGGACGTTCGAAGAGGCCGATGCCCTCGAGGTGTGCCAGTTCCATCGGCCAAGGTCCCCCGTGCCACTCCCCGGTCGACGCGCGGAGGAGGGTCGTGCGGGGACGGGCGCGTTTTGAGCGCTTCGCGCGAAGCCTCCGCGCTTGATGGGTGGGCGCTCAGGCTCTCTTGTGGCGGGGTTCAGTCATTGACCTTGCCCACTGGTGCTGAAACTTGGATGTCCAATCTGTTTGAATTGGGTTCGGGTGACCTTTCTACAGCTTTCAAGAACTCGCCGACCGCACATCGAAAGGCTAGTTCAGGGGCCTATTGTCAGGGCATGGATTGTATCTCAAAGCGAGTTGATCGTTGAATCCCCAAGCGGCCCCAAGCGCGTGTTTCATTTGTTTCTAAGACAAGAACGTTCTGGGGCTCAGGTGTTCTCGGAGTGGGCTGTGAGGCTGGAGTTGTTTGGCGGTGCCTTTCATGGGCACTGTAGTAGATTATTGACTTAAATTTGATCCTGCTGGACATGTTCATGTATATCGATGATTGTTTCTAAGGCAAGCTCGAGCCATTTGTCAAAGGCGCAGAAGATCAGCACGGCGTGCTCTCGTGGGAGTTGAAATGCGACAGTTTGATGTTTTTCACAGTTCGGTTGGCCCGTTCAACTCATTTTCACGGGCGATTTCTGACCCCTTTGGCCATGAAGACATGGCGGCGAGCATCGAAGAAGTGACAGAGCAGTCCCTATAGAAGGTCTGATCACAGGTTCTCTTGAATACCACCAGCAGTCGCCCACAGCAGGCTTGCCACTGCAGTCGCTACACCGGCCGTTTGGGGCTGGGTTCGAGAACCGTCACGGTACCGTCACGGTCACGGTCGACGCGACACAAAAACACCGGGGGGATCAACCGGATGGACGAGGGGATGCCCAAAATCACCGGCACCGGATGAACTGCCAAACCCAGACACGACCTGCCTGGGACTGCCATAGGACTGCCGATCGATTGACCCCGCAAAGCACCTCAACTGATCGGCATATATGGCAGTCCCATGGAGTGTTTGGGAAAGTAATCCATCTGCTGAATGGTTCATCTAGCAATCCCAGCGATGAACAGACCAACCGAATTCGTTGAACTGCTCAAAGAGAGAAAGAGAGAAGACAGATCCACCCGTTCTGGACCCATCTTGCCATCTTACCATGCATTTGGCCATCGAGATGCATTTCCCCCGTCTGTTGGGTCGCAAGGAGGTGGTTTCGCTAGGCTGCATTGCTCTTTTCTTCTTCTCGCTGGATGTTCTTCACCCCATCATCCATCGTCCCCCCTGCAAATTCGCAGGAAAAGCCAGGGCAGGTGCGGACAGCGAGGCTCGGACATGGCAGGAGGTTGTTTTTTCAAGATAAACCTAAGCACTCAGAGGCAAATGCCATCCAAAGACCCCTGAAAGCATGTGGAACTTCACAAGTCCCCAAAGATGGGGGTTGAAGCCCCTCATTGGTCAAAGCCGATGCCATTGCCCTTGCCACCACTGCTTGCGTCAGGCTTCATGTGAATCTTTATCTCACACACACACACCAACCACTAGCAAATCCGCAGCTCTTCCTGGCTGCAGCTCCTATCCTTCAATTAAAGCCCCGGGCAAGTTCGGGCCTGTCAAAGCTCGCTGTCTCTCTGATTTGCTCCTCTATGTTTGATCTTCAAGGACATGGAGCTGCAGCGGAAGAAAGTGCACGCAAGGAACGATGACACCGCTGCATCGCCTGCTGCTCTGCGGCGGGGTTCTACCAGGGATCCATGAGGGACACTGGACTTGCAGCCTGCGAGTTCAACCCTCACCGCCTACTGGCAGTGAAATACAGAGGACGCTAGGCTCTCGTTCCGTATTGAACTGCTTGATGATGTCAGAACGTTCCTGCATCTTGGTCTTGCCAGAAATGTACGAGAGCAAGTAACACTGTGCTCCTTCAAGTGGTACCCAATGGCTCAAGAAAGTGAACAAAGCTAGAGGCTGGTACCATGCCTTGTCTTCAGCCCCATGCAGATTCAATCTGCGTCCTTCTCAGGCAGGGATCCTCAGTGGATGCGTCATCGAAGACCGGTCGACTGGGTCTGTCAGCCCCGGCTGTGGGTCTGTTCACCCGGTGCCCATTTCAACTATAGCCTAGTAGCGTTTCGGCCACCAGGTTGACCTGGGGCGTCGTCTTCTGTTCATGCTTCCGTGGTGGTAGAGACCCCAGGGTCGCGAAGGGTGCGCAGACCTACATCCATGTTATATTCTGCATGTCAACATGTGCAACTTCTGGATCTGAAGCATCCAGAAGTTGTGGACCAAATACACTGGACCAGCGGCGGAGGTGGATAGATATATACATCATCTGGCTCCCGAGTCGTTTGGGTCGGAAAATCAAGGTGGTGAACCTTTTTCGCCCGACTCACTCCCGAGCTGTTTCCCTAACCAAACTTCCCACCTGTTCTTGTTGAGTGGTGTGTGTGTGTGTGTCCCCAGTTACCCCAGTTACCCCAGTTCCGTTTCGACTGGGTAGGTCGAAGTCCAGTTCCATGTAGTGCCCCAAAGGTTTCGGGAAGTTCCTGGACCGTATGGGGTCACCGTATGGGTGAGGCACTTCCTGTCTGGGTGCCCTGGAGTAGGAGAAGGGTAGGGTAGTCTAGCCAGGACACCCATTGGATGATCCTGGTAGTCAGACCATCTTGAAAAAACTGTTGACTGAACGTTCCGCCTCTTCGTTTTGAGTGGGGTATCTCCAATCCCCCCCAAAAAAAGTGTTGCAGGTGATCCTTTAAACTCCAAGGGTAGGTCATTCTTTCGCTGGGCAAACATCATGCGAGACACAGCTGTTGCAAGGCCGGACATCTTTGGGGACTGAGTGTATCTTCCTCCTCCTTGTTGGTTTGAGGTGTAATTACCCAAGTTCCACCCAAGATTTGTTTCGCAGCACCTTAAGAAGTGCACATTAAAATCCATCAGAATATACAGGGTTAGGGATCCAAGTACCTTCGTTTCGAAGGTGTTCGGGCTGATTGAAAGGTCCAAGTACCCTTCTGAGGAGGTATGACTGGATCCCAAACGGGCAGTATACTCTCCCGGACGTCCATTCTGGAATCCTCCTCAACCCATCAAACCTCGCCCCCCCTCTTCTTCGTCCCCTGAGCTTGCCACGCGACCCATCAGTTCCCCCACCAGCTGCGACACCATCGGCAGCGCCGGTTCCACCGGCGGATGCGGCACCGGCGGTGGCAGCGGTTGCGGCGGCACGGGTGGGGCCGCAAGGTCCTCAGTGTCCTGCAGGGCGTGGAAACTGAGATGTTGGCGCGACTGAGATGGAAAATGAATCCAAATGAATTCCCAGAACTGAGTTGATGAGTTAGTTAGGGCCATTGATTGGATGAATTTCTTCACGGTGTTGTGCATAGTGCATGGTGTTTGGGGAATCAGGAACTGGAATGCCGACAGGGGAACTTGAATCTACACTTGGAAGTCCATCATGGAAGTGGAACAGTTCAGCCCCGGAAGACCATGTTCCTCTACTTTCGGGGGTCCTGGTCAGCTTCCATGATTGTTGCAGGGAGGGTATCGCTCGGCACCGTTGTTTTTTCTCCTTCAGCAACTCCCAGCGGGTCGGCCACGGCGAAGTCACGACGACGACGACGTCGACGACGTCCGGAGGCCGAACTTCCCACGGAGACGGTGCGGAGAGTTCCGCGTAGAAAGACCAACAGAGGTGGGTCAGAACCCGACTGTTCGACTATCCCAGTTGGGTACCCCAGGTGTTCCGGGTCCTATGAAACCGGTCGACAGGTGACCTCTCTTGGTGGCTCTTCAGTGGACAGGCATCCTTCGGGTTGAGGCCGTGGGGACTGAAAAGCATCTGAACTCGTTCGTCTCGCGTTGCCTCGTTTCGAGCCCCCAAAAAAGGACATGTTCAGCAAGCACTCTTCCTTGTTCCCAGTCTGGAGGGAAGTCCTGTGAGATTTCCTTGGGTGATCCTACTCTCCAAAACGACAGTCTTCATCCTGCTCCTCTTCAAGGGGGCTCTATTCTTGCTGAACTCAGCACGGATGTACTGTTGTCATGGGTCCATTCTTTCGGGGGCACAGATCTTAGACATTTGGACATGTCTGCTTACTGAGCGCTCGCGCGTGTCCCACCCCGTGTCTCCAGCCTGAAAAAACCAAGCAGGTCACGCCTGCTTGGATTTTGCGCGCTTTTGGTGCATGATCACTTCTGCCCATTTCTGCCCCCCATTAGATTTACCAGCCACATATCGAATCCCCCCGTCCTCTTCCGATAAGCACAGCTCGAGCGGTTCTTCCTGACAAGCCAGCTCTTCAGTGTGGAATCACTCAAAGCGTGTCAGCAATTCTCCAAATACTGAGTGGAAGGATGCCATGTTTTCCCTCGATCTGGCAGAGCTGTTCAACTGAAAATATTCAAACATCCTTTCGTGGTCTCCACTACAATGGATTCGACCAAAAGGGTTCCGCGGCAAACGCGCGACCTTGGCTGCGAGGCGGATCTCGGGCAAGAAGTCTTCATTCCTGGCGGTGTTCGGACCAAATGGGTGGCATGGATTTTCCAGCTGTGTCAAGTACTCATAGCAAGGGGCAGTGAGAAAGATCATGTTGGTTTCTCGAGATGAATCACCGCAGGATCAAACTAAAGGGAGCTTTGACCCACCATTAAAGACAGCAATCATAGAACTTGCGAGAAGCGTCGTTGATTTGAGAACAAATGAATTGGCAAAGTCGTACTTCCACTGTCTCGCTACAACAGTCTTAGAATCTGCTGAGCAGAAGTTCCTGGGCCTTACGCCTATCTGCCAATCCTGCGTGCAGATTCGACTGTCCCAAGCAGCTGCTGCAAGCCGGGCGGAGAAGAGCAGCACCGACCCAAACCCAAACCCAACCAGTGGGGTCCGACCCAAACCTGCCGGTGGGGAGGTCGCAGTTTTTGACTAGACCAAAAAGGCACCCCTCCAAATTCCGCGTTTGGCACACCTCAAAACCATCACCCCTGCACCATCCGCATCCCATGGACAGGCTGATCACAGGCCGGCAGAACGCTGCATGGACAGCTGGACCTGGCGGTCCACTTCTGTGAAGGCATTCCGTTCGACCACAAAGTAGAGCACCCAACTCCCCAACGTGGAAGTTGGGCAGGTGTGATATCGGAGTTGCAAGTGGGACCGAATCAAATGGAACTGAGCTACCGACAAGCTAGACCAGCTACAGTAGAATTGACCTTCCTTCCCCACCCAGCAGCACCCTGCTTTGGAAGGTTTCACCATGGGTCCCAAGCCCATCAGTCGCGAGGCTTCCAGTTCTGGGCGTCACTCAGGCTCACAGGCAGCCGTCCCTGCTGGAACCATGGTTACGTGGAGCGCTTGTGCTTCACTCCAAAAGGCAAGTCTTTGGTCTTCAGGGGCCATGAAAAGGACAGGTGAAAGGTGAACCGCTGGTTTGGAAAGGTGAACTGCGGGTGAACCGATAGGATGATAGGATGTAGGACCGCAAGAGATGGGCCCCGGTCCGGCACTTTTTGCTCAACAACTTCGACTCGGTCGGCCTGGCTGCGCGTGCACCTTCCTCGGCGCGCTTCTGGGCTGGAGCTCCTGGCAAGGCGGGAGAGAACTGGGAAAAAGGGCGGAAAAGGCACAAAAGGTGAACCAACAACAGTCTACCTGTTCTTGTTTAGTGTGCTTTCCCCAATCCATCCACTTTTCCTGGGTCGGCCTGGCTGGGGTTGGGTTGCTCAGGCTGTGCTTCATGTCATACTGGAAAGAATCCTTTCCATATGACTTGTAGTTCAGCAAAAGCCGCTGTTTCTGGGCAAAGGCATCCAGAACATGAACATCCGAGAGCTCGTGAAGAACCCCAGCTGGTAGTCGCAATCCAACATCACAAAAATCCAACACTACGAGCTTTCAGGGCACTGAGCTTTCAGGCCATCTTACTTGGCACTGCGAGCTTTCAGGCCGTTCAACATGTGGCGGCCGCTGCTTATCCAACGAAGGCTGCCAGTCGCCCAATCCTTTCTCGTGCAATCCTGCTTATCCACTGACTGGGTAGGTGTGTTCTCCCTCCCCCCCCTCTCTCTCTCTCTCTGTCTGGGGCCTTCCAGCCTCTAAAATGATGGCATGGACCAGCACACAGGAAAACCCGCACGTACACGGCTGGACAAGGATACTAGATCCGCAACCCTCGGTTTCGCCCACCTCCCATCCTCATCCCGCAATGAGCCCAAGCACCAAGAGAGTCCAGGGGACCGGGATCTGAAAGCATTAAAATCCACTTCGTTGGCAGATCTAAGTCCCACCTCTTCCAGACCGCCATGGCAGTGATCGAAGTCAGACGTCTTTGTCTGCCGCAGAGTAGCTGCGTCTCGCGGCGACCCCTCCTCCGTCTGTGTCTCGCGCTCCGCGAGCTCTGCGCGTGGCCGCGGCTGCTTTCCGCTGCTTTCCGCGCCTGGACGTGAAGCTGGGCGTGGAGCCAATGGCACCAGAACTGAGGTGGATACCCGGTCAGTCAAAAAGAAACATATGTTTAAAACAAACAAGGCTCTACCCCCAGACCCCTAGAGTTAAACGAGAACCCTTCGCTAAGCATTCGGGAAAAAGTGTATGATTCTTTTGACTAAGGCATGGAATAGTTTGAAGGCCATGGGTGTTTTGGGCGTATTGTTACATGATTTTTGTGATTTCATTTGGCAGACCAAAGACAAGTCTTCACAGAACAGCAGGGGCTGCTGGATTTCCAGTTGGCCATCTTCTGAAGCCGAAAGAGGATTAAGAGTGCTTTTGGATGTGGCATCAGGAAAAATGTGGGAAAATGGTGGAGAGGGAACGAAGAGGAAGCGCATCTTGGAAAAAATGTCTTTAGATCGTCTCTGCACACTTTGAACTCTGCAGTGTCGACATCAATCTGTTCCATGGGATCCTGTACGGGGGAGTATGTTCCAGCTGGCCGTGCGCGAGAGGCGTGCGGAGAGTCTCGTCGTCGTCTCGTCTCTCTAGCGTGCTGAGTCACATCGTCCGTCTCCTGAGTCGTCCTGCACAGATCTGCAGAGCTGGGCACCCCAACCATCTCCACCAACAAAAAGCCGCGTTTCATCCAAAAAGCAATGACGAAGACCTCGGCCTGCTTGGCCCGGCTTTTGGAGCTCTTCTGGCCATGCAATCGGTTCTAAAAGCAGCTCAGCCCCTGGCGCCGAAATTCCGTGTCTGGGCAGGAAGGGTCGCCCGGGACGTCCGCGTGCGAAGGAGGACACTCATCGTTTTCCACTCAACCACTGAACTCACGGTGGTTCACAGTGGGTTCCCATCACTTTGCCATACTTTGCCCATTCACTAATTCGCCTCTACTCACATCACAAGCCTCGGATTACCATCCGTTTGGGGAACGGTCGAGGCCATCACATCTGAACCAGGCCGTGGTGGTGTGACCCACTACCATGTGGCTGCGCATTAAGATGTCAAATGCTCTCAGGAAGAAGGGACATAGACCATAAACATCCATAGACCATTGGTTGGGTGTCTATTAAAATACACCACTCCTTATAGGCCTGTGTTCCAACCCGGGAGCTTCCCAAGCCTTACGTCCCAAATCCGTGAGGGGGATCAGTAATGCGTGAAGCAGGTGGTGCTATCCACTTGAGGAGGTTCCACGGAGAGGAACTTCTCTCAACTTCTGGCGGTACTTTTGGATTCATGATCCGAATCCAGTCCGTCTGGTTGGAAGCCATACCCAGACACTCCATGTATGCCATATATGCTTACATTGGGGTGGTTTGAGGGGTCAATGTAGGCATATATATGGCATACATGGAGTGTCTGGGATATTGAAAAACACGACTCTAGGAAGCAGGAAGATATGCCGCCCCAGAAACACCTTGGATCAAACAACCGCCCTAGCTGGTATAGGCAAACATGGCAGTTCCATGGAATTGCTTCCAAGTGGAAAAGACCGCCCAAGGGCGGCCTCAGTCGACATACAGGACCTCATCTAAGGACTCATTTTCTGAAAATGGAGAATCATACATGCATGATATACGTACATGACAAACATGTATCCCCTCATGATATCAAATTCAAATGAAGACGTGTCCACCGAGGGATCTTCCAGAAGTTTCACCTTTCAGATACCCAGACGCGACGAGTCTGGGACTGCCAGGACGGACTGCCTTCAAAACGGCCAGGGGTGGTGCCAGGGGGGTGGCTTGATCGGCATATATATGGCAGTCCCATGGAGCCTATATGGGATCTGAAACCCACCTCTGCCACGGACCTCGCAGATCACTGCCTACTGCCACGACCTTGACGCCCCTTCCGCCCTTTCATCGGTCCCCTCGCCTGGCCGATGACGTCCCACGTAGAGACGCAAGAAGCAGGACAACCTGGTGAGGGTGAGGCGAGCCACTTAGAGCCACCCGTGGCGCCACCCTTCAGTCGTGGCAGCCCCGGTTTTGGATCGGTCCAGTGTTGTTTTGTTAAAAGCCCCACAAACAGGGGGGCATAGGGTTTGGATGGATGTGTTCTACTTTGTTTCGCATGGTTGCAAGCAAAATCCCGAAGCTGCGCAGCAACTGGGCAAAAGCATCTTCCAACACAGACGACCTCACGTGACGTGGACGACTTTGTGGCGTCCCACGTGACGTGGACTGAGGCGTCCGCTGCGGCGTCGACATGCTGGGATGCACGGGCGTCATCCTGGAGGAAATGGTCTTCAGAAAGTGGACGAAGTAAAAGCCCGGGATTGGGTCCAAGGATGGGTCAAAGGATGGTCCCAAATAGATCGTGGATGATAGTGGCAGGGTTTCCAAGACATTTTTGATAGGTGGAGATCTACGTTTCTATCTATTTGGGGGTCTACATAAGATGGCCCAGAACTTCCGGAACTTGACTTATGTTTTAGACGCCTGGAAGTGTATGACTCCACCACTACCATCGGCTGGGGTAGTTCATTTTCTTGAACTCCTGGACTCTCTTGGGTCTATTGGAAGTCGATAATCACGATGTGTCCAGCGAAAAAGAACAGGAAAGGAACAGGCCCCTCCAGCCTCCTTTTTCGCCCAAATGGTGTTTTTTACCGAAGAAGAACCGGTCCAGGTCAATCGAAAGATCTCCTTGCGAACATGGGGTTTTGCTTTTCTGTTTGGTCATCTAAGTGATAAGGTAACAGCAAATCCGGGGGGGGGGGCAGATGAGCTTTCTGCACCTCTTGAGTACTCAAATATGAAGGATCAAGCGGCATCCCGGACCCAGACACTCTTGGGACTGGCATATATATGCTGATCAATTGACCCCCAAAACCACAGTCCCATGGAGATGTTTCTGGCTGAATTTCTTCCACTGACACCATATTGGGGAAGTCGGCTTCGGTCTCCCATGGAAGTCGACTGCACCGAGCCAAGGTTCCAAGTCGTTTGGTGGAAAGGCTCTGGACTGCTGGTCATTGAGGCACAACCAGACGGCTGGTCAGACTGGGGCCATGAAAACATGGGACGTGAATTCCAGTGCCTCGGTGACGACCCAACGATCGAACCGATCGGTTCGGGTTATGGCCCACACCACTACAGGCTCCGCCTGGATCCCTGGATGCTTCGGGAAAAAGGACCGGTGACGCCAAAAGACTCGGCTCGGCTTCAGGTCGCTTGGATCAAAGGTCGCTTTGGCGAGCCAGGAGGATCGAAGGCAATAGTTAATAGTCACACATTCGCATAGCCAAAAGGGTGGAGGCGTTGTTCTGCAACGACTATATAGAAACTGAAGGTAAATTCTATAAGCCAACAATGTCATGCATAGGTACTGATTGAATCTTGGATAACGCTAGTTGCCAAAATGCCAACGAAGATCCAAATGAAGCGGCTGAAAGCGCATCGGGCTTTTATTCCTGGCTGGACGTGGAGCGGTGGCTTTGACCCCTCGATTGCAAGGAATGACAAGACGGAACTGGGCGTTTTCTGCGAGGCTTCCAAGACGGAACTGGACCGAAGGACACCCCGTTTTCTCTGGGCGCACCCAGTCAAAAACACGAGTGAAAACCAGATCGTCGAAGTGAAAACCCCGAAGAGGTGTCCATTTCTGAACGTATTGTTCTCAAAACATGTTTGTGGTCTTGACGCGCTTTGCAGGTGTTTGATCGTGTGGCCAACGCGTTGGTTGATTCCGGATACCTTTTGGATCTTACAAAGGTGGATAGTGGGAATGCTGGATGGCTGCAGCTGGTTCCAATGATGAGAGGTTCTGGAGACCAGGGATGGTTGTTCCGCACGGCTCGGTGCTGTTTGATGCTCTTTCCAGCTGACTTTGGCCACACTGATTGGCCCCCAAAAGATTTGAGACATGTTCCAACTCTTCAAGGTTGCTGCTTTCACGTTTTGTCTTTAGTCTTCTGAGAACGTATACAAATATGACTCAATAAATAATCAGAAATACAGGAACAAATATACGACTCGCCTTCAGGAACATGAACAAGACATATGAAAAACAGAATATGATGCCGGAATGATGCCTGCGATCTTCAATGTATCTATGTTTTACAGTTTTTGTACTGTGTTTGTTTTGTATTGTTACTTTTTCACGGTTTTTACGAAACAAACACAAAATAGTGAATATAGCAGATTGTCTTTTCTTGTTTGTCTTTTTTCGTGTTCGTATCGTTTCCTGGTATTCCCGGCATCACACTCTCCTTATAGGTTTCACTTGCGCGTGAGAAGACGAAGAAGATGAGTGAGGAATGAAAGCACTGAACAACAAATCTACCAGGACCATTCAAGGGGTGTCCAATGGACTACCCCACACTACCTATAGGCTTCCATTGGGCACCCCTTGGATGGTCCAGGGAGGCATTCTACAAGTTGGAAAATGAGGAAACTTGTTGAATCGAGTGGAGAAGACCTTCGACAAACAAAATGGATTGAAGGCGAGGAACACCCTATATATATATATTATATAAACCCTTTTGCACGATGAACGGCGGGTAATTCACCTGGTCACCCAGTCTGGAAATGGATCAGTCAGGTATCAAAGGTGTCATGCGTCCTTAATTAGTCGGTCAAAAACCTCTTGAATCTTGAATTTACTGATGCTGCTGGTGCTTTTTTTGTCTTCTTAGTATCATCTCAGTTGAAATCACAATGACAAGTGGAAAGAAAAGTGGTGTGAAACATCACAGGCATCGTGTTTCAACAAATTGTGCCTGACCAATACAGTCAATATACGACCCCATCTTAACTCCATTGAATCGTCTCTGCGTTTATCTTGTTGAGGCTTCAAACCTCTTCCGAAAGCACCCGCTCAATGTCTGCGCCGCGTTCCGTGCGGAAGCTCAACGCTCAGAATCGTATTGTGAGGCCTGAAGATGGGGAGGTGAACCGACTCCGATATCGATCTTGACTACACCAACGACTTGCACCTGTTTCTGATGGTCCAGCGTCCCCCAACTCAGGTTGTCAAGATTGGTCGTCATTTTGGAGCAACCTGGCAGACCAACCGAGTCGTTCTTCAATGGGAGTTCTTCAAGTTGTGGACTGGGAGTTTCCTTCACTATCTGGGTTTTGAAGCTTCATTTGAGTTTTGAGTTTGGAACCATATATGAGCACAATTAACCAAAATATACCTTATATAACTTATAAATCAAAAGAAAAAGGCATCGCCAAGCATGACCAGCAGTTTAGAGAAAGAATTGTGAGCTGAGTGCAAAGGCTCCCAAGCCTACACCTATCCAAAACATCCCCCTGCTGCTATGCCGTCGCAAGCTCATCCTCAGAAAGCACCCGGCCGATATGCCCAAATAAGACCACAGTCCAAACATAGTACATACCAGCACCAATGGAAGCCCCTACGCTACTTAGATCTACTATCCGGGATCTCTCCGTTGGACACCCCTTTTTCAGGTCCAGTGTGTTTATCTAATCATATGACATGCAACGTTTCTCTACCCATATGCCTTGGCTATGCCTTGGCACCTCTAGGCTGAGGTAGCTTTGAAAAGAAACCATCCAACAGCGTTCTGATCCGGATCCGGTCTGGGACCCCCAAAGGGTCATGCAGTTGTGAATCGTTTATAGGGGTAAGAACGAGATGTCCGTCATCGGAAGAATTGAGGGGGGTATCCTATTGGTATCAGATGCCCGACTTGGAGAACCTCACGACTGGGTTCGGGTCTTTTGTTGAGGACTCATCAAGCAACCCGACTGGGGCGTTTCCAGACCGGCCATCCACTGCGGATACGGGGCGTTTCAAAGAAGCTTCTCTGACCAACTGTCACCCACGGAAGGAAACGGTCCCTGGGAGGTTCTCACCGTTTTGGCGAACGCACCACGCACCACCAGGCGACCTGGGTGTCCATGTTTGGTCGCCCCGAAAGGAGGTCAAGGGGTGTCATGAACCACCCTGACTGGGGGCCTGGATTATAGTTCGTCTGCTTTCCATATAAAGACTGCTCAAAGAGTTTGGGAACGACCTGGTGTTGTAGCCAGGTCAATCCTTAGAAAAACAGGATGTTCTTCAGCAAAAACCATGAAACCAATGGTGCTTCTAGCCATATGTTGGAATCCTGTGGGGCATAGTTCTACGTAGCATGTTCTAGCCATCCATGCGACCTTAGTCATTTGCTTGCCGGGTGGATCCTTTTGAGAAGGCCATCTTTTAAAGGAAAAACCATCGCTGGCATCCTTCAGCGGAAGGCCATCTGAGTGTGAAAAGCGTGCCCAGGTTTGGACCCAGACCGATCCTGGTGGAAATACAAGAACATAAGGATCCCTAACGAGGATGCGCGAGCGCCAGAGTGCCCTCTGGGCCGCGGACCTCATTTGCTCATTTGAGGTTCAAAAGCCCGCCAAAACGACACCTCTGGCACTTCCCAAGAACAGCCAAGTCTGTAAGGATCATGAAGAGACGGGTTCACCATCGACAGGAATCAGCAACCACCCAGACGCTCCAAACAGCCCTTGGTCCCTCAAAACCATAGGGATTGGTTCGGGTCCGGACCCCTCCATATGAGGGTACGGCCCCTACTTAGAAGGGTCCAGGGTCGCGTCTGGGCAGAACAAAAACCAAAAGAGTCCACACCTTGGCCCCATGGCTTTGCTCCAGAAGATTCTGGCGGTCTCGCAAAAAGAAGAACTGGCACCTGCTGCTCTTCCCCAGTTTCAAGGGATTCACTCATGGAAAAAAACACATGTTAGCTAACATATCACATCCACCATCACCCACCCGAAAGAGGCCAAAAGAACTCCTTCGAAAAGCTCGATGACACCCGAAACCCACCGGCCATCGCCTGACGCCGGAGCCGCCGGCCATCGCCCCCCCCCGCCCCCCCGACGCGCTCGGATCTGCTGACCTCACCGGGCCCCCCGGCGGTTGGAACGCGGACGCGGAACCTGTGAACCGCAGGGTTCGAACGGGGGCGGGCGGGACCGTCCCGGCGGGACCGTCGGTGGGGCCGAAGGGCAAGGTCGGAACGGAGCGCCGGAGTCAACCAGATCCTGCAGGTTTCTTGAGGCTTCAGATCTTGGTTTGCCGCCCTGGCAGTCTGAGAAGACAAGAAAAGAAGGAAAAACGCCGTGACACACTGTGGTTGGGGTAAAAAGAAAAGGCCAAATCTATCCAAATCTCGCTGGAGTGGCCCAGCAAGCCCTCGGCAGACTCTGATAGACCACCTCCCCTGAGAGCCCCGGAAAATCACTCAATAGACTTCCAGGTGGTGTCACCAAAGCTGCGGCAACTTCCAAGGTCCCTACCAGAGTTGAAATAGGGAGAGCCCCAATCAATGGGTCAGTCCTTCCTGATTGATTGGGTCAGTCTCTTCCCAAACTTCCCGGTTCCCGTGGTTCTTCCAACGCCTTGGGGGGTCGGTCGGTCTCCGCTCTTTTCGCGAACGCTCAGGTGCCCCGGCTGAGAATAGTACTGCCGCGCGCCGGACCTGAAGCCGACGATGAAGATGTCACGCCGGACACCGCGCGGTGCTCGCGAGCTTCGTCGGATCGAGCTTCGTTGGGGGTCCATGGAGCGGGAGCGGGCGAGGAACTGGTTCCATCGCACTCCGAGTCCTTCACGAAAGAAGGAAGGGGGGGATTCTTGGGGGAGGTGGAAATCGGTATATCCCAGACACCCTGGGCCCAGTGGTTGATGGGGCCTGGTTGCAAAAAGACCGGTCCAAAAGAGTGATACACTCCCTCGTTCACGACCACATGAGCCAACATGGCATGTCATGGCCCCTTTCGTTCGGGTTACCATGAAATCCACGAACCAAACAGCTGGTGCCATCCACGTACCGTTACATACCAGCACCTTCAAAGGGGTCACCAATGGAAGCCCCAGCCCACAACTAAGGGACCTCCAGCCAGGACACCCCTTTTTCAGGTCCAGGTATGAATGCCAGGGACTCGACGTCTCTGTTCATCGGTTCGGGCGTGGCGGACCTTCCTTCTCCGGTGGAACGGAGGGAGAAATAAAAAGCCACCCCGTGTGAGTAGTGACGTAGAAACCATTCTGATTAGGCAGAGTTGAAGTCGATTTCCCCTTTTTGGGCCATAGGCATTGATGGCCACTTGAAACCACGTATATGACATTGTCAATGTTGGCAGCCCTTTTAATCGATGAAACCAGGGCTTTGTCTCGTCCAATATGGTCCAATCTTGATTGAATGAAGCTTCATCGACTTCCTAATACCCTGAAGCTTCGTCAGGCGCTCTCGGATCTTCAGTCGTTAGTTGGACTAAGGTTCTTATTGGTCGTCTCCAAACAAGTGAACTGACTCCCTCAGTCTTCTTGGACAGGTTAATCAACCATCCTGGACCATCCGGTAGTGTGGGGTAGTCGTGCCTGCCAGGACACGCCAGTCGGACACGCCACTTCGATGGTCGGATGGTCCGGGGATGTTTGACCTTCTGCTTCTGCGTGTCGGATGTCCCCTGTCTCAAATCCCACCAATTGACTCGGGTAACCGGGGCAAGCTGGTGACCAGGTCTGGTATGGTCAAGAGTCTTATGGCGCTGCACGGAGGCCAAAATGCAATCTGCTTCTCTTAGGCCCCTCACAGTGCGTCGAAGGACTGTGGGAAGGCATTGTGAAAAGTGGGAAGACCATCAGCACGCCAGGCCTCAAAACAAGCAACCAACATCCCACGGAAATCTGTTGAAGATGGGCACCAACCAAGGTCCCGCTTCATTGGGCCCCCAGCCCTTGATGTAAAAAAGACTTGAATCCTGAACAATAAAAATGCTGGGATTGCAACCAACCAGCATTGATTGAATTGGTCTTGAGTCTTTACCAAAGAACCGAGTTGTTTTTGTTGTTTTTATTCAGGATTTGACACTCACCAAAACCAGGCCAATACCGAACTCTTTTGAGAGTCATAACGGACTTCAAAGGGGTGGTCGTTTTTTTGCATTGCTGGGTGGTGCGACCCATCGCCCTCGTCACCGCGGAGGGGGATCAACCTCATGCTCGCAGGGCCTCCAGTTAAACAACTAGGTCCTTGGTAACTACTAAAAACACCTGGTCCCTGCATCACCTGCGGTCTGCATCACCTGCATCACCTGGTCACCACTAGGTGGTCCCTTCGTGTTTCCAGTTCGACTCAAACAGACCTCTTGGCACTCATGGATCCACTCGTGGATCGCTTCAGAAACCTTCGAGTCGAATTGATGGCTCGGACGGCATGTCGGACCAACTGATGGGGCTCGGTCTCCGTCTCCCTCCGTCTCCCTCCAAACCGGTCTCTACCTGTGACACTGCGCGTTTTCCAATGGCGCAGGAATTGGGCTGTCCCTGGATGGTCCTAAAAATGAAGCAAAACCTGCAGCCCATCTGGAGAGCTGGGGACTGTGGTAGTACACACTTATTTCATGTTATACATTTTGTTGATTTCAAGCCATAGTTCATTGCACAAATGCTTGTCTATCTTGCGATAAATAATCAAATCAGGATAGATCTTTATAAAAGATCGACAGTAAAGGGTTGAACTTAACAAAAAACAGATGTTTAACTGTTCTTCTGGTAGTCCTTCAGGCTTACTATTTAGTATGTCCGTTGTCTTCATACATCTATTACAAACCTTAAAACTACAAACTACCTTCACTGTGTCATCTGAAATTAGTGAATGTACTGTTTGCTTTTGTTCTGATTAACCCTACAAGTTCTGCAATACAGTTATATATGTATATATAATGTGTGTGTTAATTCATTATCAACCCTTTGCGCTGTCAAAGTTGTTGATATGTTTCCTTTGTTATTGTTCAATGTAAAGCCACAGCCGCAGTAACTACAGTACAATGTTTTTTGTATGTTCTAATGAACCAGTGAGCATCACCACACCACCACACAGCCTTCTTGGTCTGAGGGGCAGATCCTGCAACACCAACATTAAGATAATGAGATTCTGTTCTCAACATCGGTGTAGATAGAAACCATCCAGACCCATCTGTCTGGCTTGGAGATCTTGTCCACCACTCCGCCACCTTCGTCTTCGCTTCTTCGCTTCTTGTTGCCGATGCTGGGACTGCCCACGGGGAGACCGCCCTCACCGGGCCGCCTCGGGCGGGGCGACGCTGCCGTGCGGCGCGGCGCGGCACGGCGCGGCGCTCGCGTGGAGCGGCCGAGTTCGACACGCTGCAAGCATGACTGACTTGTGCTTGGCAAGGAATAGGGGAATAGATCCTAAGTGATGAATGGTAAAAGGTCATTCCCTTAGGATAAGAGGTGGTGAACCTGGAGATCTGTTGTCACCAGGAAACACCTGGAGATCTGTTGGCTTTACACACTCTGAGTCGCCTTTCCATGGACGTTTTGGTTCTCAAACACACCACCTGATTGGTCTTTGGATGTCATGGACATCCGAGTCATCACCGCCGTGCCATTCATGTGGGGCCTTTCAGGGAGTGTGTTACACTACCAGTCCAAGGACCAAGTAAAATCTGGTCCTTGGTCCTTGTACTCATGACTCATTAAGTACTGTTGTTGCATGACCAAACGTAGTGAATTCCAGGTCGTTGACCTGTCGGGTGATGTTTTTACCGCTAGTTCCAAATCATGCAGGCCAGGAAGGTTCGGCAGGTGCTGGTCTCCCAGAAACTTCCGCCTGTTTTGACTCATAGTTTGATGACCCCACCTGGGAGTCTATAACTCCACCACCAGGCTCTAGCTAAATTTAAACATGACTCGGTTTTTCCTCCGGCCTGCTCAGGTTGTCTTTTGGAGAAATCCCTCAAAACCAGGTCTTCGGAGGTGCTTGGTGCTTCAGCAGGAACGTGCTTCGTCTCAGCACTCCGAAGCAGCCCGGAACGGGCCGGACCGCTGCTCCGAGCGACCCCGGCGCGCCAGCTCCGAAGGCTTCGGGGCCTGCGGCCCAAGACGGGTCGAGTCGACGCTTCGGAAGTGGATACACCCCTGGAAGACTAACCCCTAGGCTTCCAACAACCATTAATTTAATAGGCTGAATCCCCAATCAACTACGGATTTTACACTACAAAAACCAGGTCAACCATTGTTTTAATGGTCTTGGAAGTCTAGGGTAACATGGAACCTGAAAACCTCTGGTTGGTAGAGGAAAATACTCTTCCATGGGACCAGGACGCACCCGGGTCTATGTGAGTGGACGTCGGGAGTGTAAATTTGACAAATCCATGTGGAACCATGATGATGGAAGACTCACCTGATGCCATATCATGGTTCTTATAGGGCAAATTACGTGGAACATGGTGGAACCATGATCTATTTCGGGATTCTGCTGGGTGCTTCTGTCGTGTCAGGTGTCATTCAACAACCTCCATGTGTCGTCAACGACGACGACGCGGTTGGCGATCGCACATCGAGGCGAGCTGACTGTTGCCGGAAAAAAAATTATCCAAACAAAATAGATGGGGGTAAAGATGGAGCTTGTTTGTTTGTTTATTGCACATACCAGTACCATGTAGTGCCATGTAGCACAGGACAAAGCAAACCTAGAGCACATAGCAGGACCATCCGACCATCAGGGGTGTGGCTGGACTGGCCCTACACTATCCGGGTTTTTTCAGTGGACACCCAGACCGGATGGTGCAGGGGCCCACGGCCACGCACCGGGTCCCGTTGCTTGAGATCGGTGCCAGGCCGCCACGGAGTACGACGCACGGAGCGTACGACGCACGGAGAAGTAGAGGAAAGTCGTCTTCCAGAAGTCCATGCCATCCAAGTCACCATGTGAGGCTTGGATTTGCTTTCGGAAGCTGAGTGTTTGAAGCACACACACAAGTTCCCAGAAGAGTCCAGGGATTTTCAGGATTCACCCCGGAACCGACATCAAAACTGACATCAAACAAAAAGCATCTGCTTGGCGCGGCTTTCGCATGGGAATGAATGGGAGGTCGACACTGACGAGTGTCTTTAGCCCATCGGCCGACGTTCGGCCGGGCCTTCCCAAACAATGGGACCGGTGGGCGCTGAGGCCGTTGCTGCCTGAGAGGGGGGCAACCCGACAGCTGGGTGGTTGGAGGAGGGAGAGGAAAACACCTGGGATTTGGGGGGTTCTATAATTCATATTAATTCTATCTAACCCACCCAACCTGGATTCTGCTGGAAGAAGAAGCGCCTTTTTTTTGGTTGGAGACCAGCTGAAAGTACGCTGTGTGAGGTGATCATGTACCTCCGCGTGGACGAAGACGTGGTTCGAACATCGATGTGAGACCTCTACGTGACGCGTGCGGTTTCTGTGGCTTCTCTGACAAGTGATGGTTCTTCAAGATAAAGCCGAGTTCAGTCCCAAGTACCAATCCAAACCACGTTGTCTTACCTGGTTCTTCAAAGTGACCGAACTTGATAACCTGGTTGGTTCGGTCCTTTAAGCAAGCTGGTAGCAGTTGAATCGATGTCTGCTCATGGCACCCAGAGATGAGACCAAAACGCTTCGTCAAGGAGTCTTCATCGTCGATCTTTGAGAAAACCAATCATTAGATGCTGAACTTCTGAGGATGAAACATGGCTGTGGGGAAACTAGCACCAGAACACCAGCTGACTGCCCCAACGAGGGTCGTTCGCCATCCAAACCGTAGGGGCTCTAGCTTGAACGACCCAGCCACATGTCCTCCACTCTGCTCCTTTAAACGGATCCACACCCTAGCACACCCAAACGCCCCACACACCCAAACGGATTTTGACGGGTGCTTTTCTCCCTGCCTGAGCAGTTCCACTCAGGTGCACAGTGGGCACCTTGGCTGTGGACGACCAAAGAGATCTTTTGAATTGAAATGAACTCATCCATGTTGGCCGAAAATGGCAGCTGAATCGGAGTTTTGAGACCCATCCCTACCAGCAGTTCGGAGTTGGAGTGGATGTGGCGTGTCCTCCAAGACCGACCCCGACATGGAGCTTGTCCTTGTCGGAAATGGGTCTTCCTCGTCTCGTTGAAAAAGGGGTCTTTCAAAAATGCTGAGCGTTTCCCACTGAAAGAAGGGTCAGAGCACGGGGCTTCCGTGCAAATCAAACACGTATCAATCAAAATCCGCAAGTTCGAACGAAAACAACAAAAAAAGCTTCTCCTCCTCTTCTCCTTTGAAAGCAAGAACTGCTTTTCCGAACTTCCAACCACCGCCGCCACGTTCGACGACCCCCCCCCCCGGCTTTCCCGTGCCTGGTCGCCCAAATGAGCCGTTGTTTGCGGAGCGAGCCGTTCCGATCGACCCGCGGAGGCCTGGCGATGGCGACCCGAGTGGCAGGGGAGATGACAGGAGAAGGAGAATTCGACACATCAAATACTCAAATAGGACATTGCATGTGGTCTAGGATGTTTGAGGATGAGAGAGACACAGAATGTGCGAAGTTTCATTTGACCAAGAGGGAGGAAACATGTGCTCCCTTCTTGAGTTGACAAACTGTTGACAAACTCCTGATGCTCCCCATTTGCACCCATTTGCTCTTATCTTGAATGAAACTCGAACTCTTGAGCGGATACAGTAGCCTTCATGATGCTTTCGGTCTTAGAGATGTTTGCTGCAACATATAATATATGCGTTTACCGGATGCCATTAACTAACTGATCAAATGAATGCCCTAGTGAGGCCTAGCGGAAAGCCTCGAAGATTACTCATGATCAAACGAGCCAATGAAAGCCCTTTGCGATCAGTTCCCTGCCATCTTCTCAGATGGATTTCAACAAAACCATCAGTGAAGGCACCATTGAATTCCATTGAATTCCAACCGTTTTCGGCGGTCTCTGGCGAACTCGCCCACCTTTCCAACTAAGAAGAATCCAAGAAGGGTTCTCCCCATCTTCACTCATGGGAATTCACCAAGCAACTTGGCACACTTTTCGCTCTTGTCATTTTCTGTGTCTTGGTCATCACACTTCACCCAAACGTTGTCAAAAACGCGTGAAAAGCTTTGAGGAAAAAATCGGGGATCTGTGCTGAAGAAACATGCGTTTCCCACCTGAAGCTGCGGTAGATGTTGCACCAGCAGAGCTTCGAGCAACTCCCAGGAATGTCCACCATCATCTGAGGCTAGCGTCACGAGGACGGTGTGGCGCATGTTGGATGTGAGGACTCGTTTGGCACCTCCGAGACTGGCGCGTGAAGAACATGAAAAACGCACCATGTGACCTGCTATGTTTTCCGCGTGGGAGCGGTGATCTTGTTTTTGGCCAATGGAACACTCCATGGGACTGACATATTTACATCCCAAAATGGGGTGGTTTCAGCGGTCGCAGGTCAATCTTCCAGTCTCATGGAGCATCTTGGATGGGTTGAACCATCTGGAGATGGTTTCTATTGTTGTAGATGTTGGTTCTCGGTTCTTTGGTGGGTTTTCTTGCTCCCCTTTGCGGAGTTTCATCCTCTTGAGTGTGTCTTCTTCTTTTTGCATTGGCTCCTGTGCAGTCTTTGTTCACATCTGTAGCATTCGTTTCCAGTTTCCACGCATTTCCACTCTGTTCTGCACACATCAAACGATTCTTGTTTTCCATGAAACATGTGGTTGACCCCCTTCTGGGCGACTGTACCAAACAAGAGGTCGAGCCTCGCTTCCTTCCACCACGTTCCTACTCCTAGGCTTCCATTCGTCCAATGGTAGACCTGGAGCTGAGAAGTGTAAAATCCTTAGTAACCTGGGCCCCTGGCTGGGCTGCACCCCTCCGCCCCCCCAAACCGCCCCTTCACCGAGCTGCCCCCACGGGAGGCCAGTAGGTCGGTACCGGCTTGCCGCAGCCGGAACCTCAGATGGTCGCTTCGCGGTCAGCGTTCGGGTCAGCGACTGGCAACCAGGTCGGTCCGACGTCCCGGCGGCTTTTCCGGCGTCCGTCGGTCGCGTCCGTGGGTGTAGAAGGAAGTGAACTCACCTATAGAGGTCACCGATAAAATTCCCCATAGACCTGCCGGTCGGACGCCCCTTTTGATCTTTTTGGGGGGACAACTAATTGATTTCATGGGCCTGACCACAACAAGAAGCTTAAAGATTGAGCACTTTGGCCAACTTTCGAGTCTCCAAGTCGACCCCTGGGTAGGCAGTACAACATATTTTTCATGTGGGGGGTCTGTTTTGTGCTGATCCTTGTAGATGTCGGGCGTTGTCATGTTCACCTCCTCTGGAAGCCTCTCCTCCCGCTACAGATCCATGAGGAGGAGACAACTGAGAGACAACGACGTGGCCACGCGGAACGGTCCAACAACCGGAACGGTCCCCGTGTGCCATGCGAGTGCGTGCCATGCGAGCCCGGATCCAACAGCGAATTTTTATCCTGTTCTCTGTTCTCCTGTTCAGTTTGGAGAACTTGGCCCAATGGTGACAAAGCCCGTACTGGGGGTGGCTGCGAGGGGAACCCAAGCCGTCTGTTCTGTTCCTTAATCATAGACAATCCCACCTGGTCCGCAGGCTTACAACCCAATGCCACCAAAACCTTTGAAAAACAGGACACCGGAAAATCCCACCTGGTTCTCCCCCACCTGACAAACAGCCCAACATCCACCGCCACCTTCCGTCGTCCGGTCTGTCCCAGGTGCGGTTGACCACCGAGCGTGTAGGTCGATCCAGCCTGCCGTTCATCCCGGTGGACCAGAAAGAGCCGGTGCAACCACGGTCCGAAGCGAATCCGCTTTTTGTTCAATTAGAAGGAAAAAACACATGGAACACCATGGGTTTTGGTCGGTTTGACGGCCCTCCAGTTGGTCAGTTGGCCAGTTGCTTGTTCATGGCGCCGGTTGAGCCGGCTGGCGCCCGACTCCGTCGTCGTCTCGTCCCTCGTGTCGGTCTCCTTTCGAAACAAGTGATTTCAGGGGTCAATGAGTCGATGGGTGAGGATTGAAAGGCCCTTGTCCGACCCGGAACAGTGGATGATGATGGTTAGGTTGCATGCTTTTCTCAAGAATCGTCTTTTCCATTCCCTGGGAGTCGGTCAGACTATAAAAAGAATAGTCTGTCTTATAGGGGACCTGAGTTCGGGAACTTCCTGGATCCTTCAGCCGGTCAAAATATAGTCTTTGGACTTCCAGGGCTACATTATCTAGTGTCCGTTGAATCAGCATCGCAAAGGAGGGTTTGTTACTCGCAGTATGTGTGCAGTATGTGTGCAGTGTGCAGTATGCGCAGTACTTGGACCTGGAGTCCGGGGAGTCCTTGCGAAAGAACGAAGAACCCTTTTGGCCACTTTGGAACACTTTGGCGGTTTGGAAGCACAACACCTACGAGTCCGCTCGCCGCTCTCGATCGGAGGACGTTTGGGACGTTCGGCGGAAGCTGATGCTCGGACGGGCCAGTTAACATGGTAAACCCAGAGGATCCCAGTTAACACTATATACAGTAAGGAACCATGACCTAAAGAGGTCTCTAGTTTGAGTCGAACTGGAAGCACTGGTTACCAGCGAACTGGTGGTAACTGGATGCCCTGGGAAAGAGGTGGAAACCTGGATCTCGGACCATGCCCAACGAGTGCGACCTTCGGTCTTTTGGAAAGAATGGCCGCCCAAAAGAAGGGGCGAGAGGTGGAGCCTTCCTCACGTGGTGCATCGACCAAGCACGAACACGTCCACGTCGACGTGGATCGTCGTTGTTGGCCGAAGTTGGTTCCAGCCATTGGGGTCAAGGGATTGAAAGACATCCGTTGCATGATCCAAATCAGAAATCATTTGCATCCCCAGGCAGCGACTGGACCGTTCCAGTTCTCGTCCGCTCACCACCCGAAGCCACACAAGCCAGCAACCCAGAAAGACACCAAGAAACCAAGGATTCTGCCAAAAGAACCGTTCTTTCTCCAACCACTCCCGAGAGGGACGACAGGTCGTTTTTGAACACCAAGTCCACTGCGGGAGGTTGGATCGAACGACTCGGTTCGCTTGGGGGCCGATACCAGCGACCGGTGCCTCCACCAGATCGACCACCTGTGTCCAAGTCTGCTCGGTCGCTTAGGTCCTGGTCCTGGTCTGGAGGGTCGCTCTGAGGTCCGGTGGTGACCCTTTAGAGGTCTGAGGTCCAACTCTTGAGTAAGAAGAACCCAAGCCCCGAAGGGTGAAAGCCAGGTGATCCATATGGATCCATATGGGTGTGTAGTTTTCATATGACCCCCAATTTTCGTTGGTTCATGTGTCCTTCTTCCAGGGGGGTCGCAGGTGGGGTATTCCGTATTTTTAATACACATCCGTACCAGGACCCTCCAAAGGGGTGTCTATTCAAAGCCCCTCAGCTGTTAAGGGGTGTCCATTAACCACCCCTTGTGGTTCCAGGTATACTTCCTGTGTGTATTTTTGTCTCTTCTCTCATCCACCAGCCTGGCTCACTGGCAAGTGCTGGAGCCTGAGAGGAGCGAATTCGACCTTCGCATCTGAGCGATGGAATCTGACCCATCCGACGGATGCAGTGGTCCGTTCCACCCAACCACTGGGTGTGGCTGCTGGATAGCTTAGACTGGATAGGCTGGGCTGGCAAAGGCTCCACACCGGGGTGTGGATGGGTCCGAACCTTCCGGGCTGAGGAGTCACCGAAGTTCGAATACACATACGTGACCGTCCCGAAAATGTCAAAGGAATGCCTGTCTGCAGACTCTTTGAGACTCTTGGACCTCCAAACAGCTGCAGGAAAACCATGAAGTCAGGGGCCCAAAAACCCCCCACACTGCAAAACCTCTAGCCAGTCCAGTTGAGCAAATAAAGGAAGCTTCAATATCATCATCATCCATGAATCCTGGGGAAGCAAAAACATGCAAAAACAAGTTGACCCACAACCAATCATTCTTCCATGATTTCTTTTTCTGGATCTGGCCCAAAAAAGCACTCCACTTGCCGCGGTGCAATCAAGAATTCTTGCGGCTCAACTTGCGCGCCCGCCCCCAGTCGCTACCTTCGGCCACCACGGCGCCAATCCCTCCGTCCTCTGGGCACACCCGACCCGTAGCGCTGCAGGAGCTCCGTCAGCAGAACCCGCACCACAGCGCCCGACCCACCGGGCGACGTGGGCGATGGACCGGTCGATCCAAGCGCAGAGCCGGCGTCGGTGCCTCAAGCGGTGGCAGGACAAGGAGTGCGGAAGCGCCGCGAAGCCTATGGCTGGTGCTGTTTTTTAGCTGAAAACTAGCTTTCTGGTGGTGCTGGTTCGGCTGGTCTTACTCCTTCGCATATCTAACATCAGCTGCATACTGCGAGTATCCAGGCCAAGACAGTTTCTGCTCTAACAAAACGTCCAATGACGTAGAAATGCTGTAAAACAAAGTTCCTTGCACATGTTTTGAGTTCGATCTCTTCTTCACGGTTCAATCTACAAAAAGAGATACACCAAGCCACTCCCACAAAAAAATCTTGGGAAACAGGTCCGTGCCAAGATGTGCCAGCGTAGACGCTGATGTTGAGATGAATGAACGCTTGCGCTGAATGAGAAAAAAACAAAAAACATGAGAGAGTCTACGCTGTGAACCTCTTCTTGATGCTTCAACGAGAAGATGTTCCCAGGTGTCCCGACCAGAGTACAGTGGCTTCTCGAGGTCGCCGAGGTGGGTTCTGCGGTTAGCTGTGCGGTTAGCGAGTGAGTTCGATCGTGGAGAAAAGAATGACGCCAGAACTGCCATTGGTTGCATTCCTTTACCCTAGGCTTCCAACAACCATTAATTTAATAGGCTTTACCCAATCAACTAAGGATTTTACACTACAAAAACCAGGTCAACCATTGTTTTAATGGTCTTGGAAGTCTAGGGTTTAGGTAGCATTTCCTCCCTATGGATCCACATACCGAACCTCAAACGGTCGGTCGGACCCTCCTGGCGCCTACATCAATCATCTCTAATCACCGTACCGACCTGGTTCGGTATGTGGATCCGGGCCTGGCTACTCTTGGACACAAACAGTTCCCACAAACAGTTGGGATACGTCTTGAGCTCCGCAGCTATCCAAGACTACGAACGCTTGACATACGAGATGCCAACGAGATACCGAAAAGTCACACATGCAACTGTCAAGTGCATCATCTTCGATCAACACTTGCTGTCATAGAGGGTCTTTCTGTTGATTTCGTCCAGTTCAATCCATAGAGGATGCTGGAAAGCTTCTTGCTGTCATAGCGGAGCAGACCGATGAGCTTCTTGGTCTAGAGATGTCTAGAGTCTGCGCTGTTGTCTAAGCGATGTTTTGGAATCTTTAATCCTCATCAACCACCAAGGATTCCATCGCTGTAACGTATACATTTTTGGGACCACCACCACCACCACCGTTCGAACGACCGTGACCGTCCGACGGACGTCTCAGACGGAGACGGTCGCTTTGAGATGGAGAGCAAAATGATCAAATAGGATGTTCCTGAACTTCGACGTCTGCCAGCTCTGCCTCTGCGGCTCACTTCCCCCAACACCCGCCTGGACTCTTTTGGAGGCACCTCCCGTGCAGACGGGAGCGGAGGCACCTCACCACATCGTCACCACCGTCGTCACGGCGGTCGGGTCGCACGACGTCGCGCGTTGGAAGAGGTCGTCGCTCGATCAAAGAGACCCACATGGAACCCGAAAACCACTGGTGGCAGGAGGAACAGCTGCAGGAAGCAGTCTTCGGTCTATGCCAGGTTCCAATGTGAATCTTCCCAGGTGCAGGTGAACTGAACGTACCACCTTGTTGAGTGGGGGAACACCCCAAATATCCCCAAATCCCCGCAGTTGAGAGAGGATTTCAGCAGATGATCCACCTACTTCCTAGCAAAAAACACGCCGCATTCTGCTCACATCGGCTGCTTTCGGGATCTCCCGTTGGGATGAGGCCCCGTCACCAAAGGAGCGCCCGTTTCCCAGTCCATAACTCACTCCCCCTCGCGGCCGTTAAGAGTTGTTCTTCGATGGATGGATGGACCTGGAAAGCCAACAAAAGCACTTCTTCCCCCTAAGGGTCCATGACCATCCGAATCGGACGTCCTTTGGCTCCAGGCAACGACCATCCGAAAAGGAAGTACTTTCACCTCCAAGACCATCCAAAAAGGAGGTACTTGGACCCTATGGCCCTATGGGCTTCTGACAAAAGCCTGATTTGTCACTGGAAAGCCAACCATCAGATGGATGGACCTGTCAAAGAACTCCGTACCGGTCCAGCACTTCTTCTGTACCGGATCGAAAACAACCAGCGGGGTGGTTAGAAACAGAAGTCTTTCTGGTTGACACTGGCCTTGACACGGTGGTTGGTCGAGCACGCTCGGCTCTGCCAAAACTGACGGGTGTTCTGTTCCAACCACCCGGAACATGCTCGGCCTCAAAGCACTATTTCTCTTGTGGACTGTCTAGGATGAAATCAAATCCGCGTCCTGGTACATGGACTGACAAAACATAACAAAACCCTCTTCGGGCATGTAGCCGTGGGTTGGAAAAAAACTCATCCAGAGTCTACAGGACCACTCTTCTACAAACGCACTGCTGAAGCGCTTTCGACTCCCCCGGATCCCGCCGTCCTCGGCGCGATGCGGCGCCGGTGGCGGTGCGCCTTGGTTGGGGGGTGTTCGGTAAGGGAATGGTAGATAGACCACGTGCCACCTGGAAAATGGGAAACGCAGTCAAAAATAAGTGTCTGTGTGTTTCTGTGACCTAATAGCGATAGCCTCCAGCCTAATAGCGATGGCGTCCAAGGTAGATAGACCATGTGCCACATATAGATGGTCCACTGATAGATTACGTTTTTTCCGATGTGAGGCAGATGGAGACTGATAGAACATCAAGAAGGAACAGGAAAAAGAAGGGGGCCTGATAAGTTTGGGAAGAGGCCCTGAAAAAAGGGAGTTCTTTTTGTGCGGGGTCTTGCTAGTTGAGGGTACCAACCTTAAGGATGATGTGACCACCATTTCTGACCTCTTCTGTCCCTTCGGTCATGGCCTTGCATGCATTTGCATCAACTTGGGCAAGTGAGAGTGACACTTACTTGACCATGACTCCAAACTTGAGGACAAGTGCAGCAACGACCGCCCAGTGTTCGGGAGAAACTCCAGCAAATCTCCCAAGATGTCCCAAGTACTTCCAAGTACGTGGAACCTCACCTGGTCATCTGGTGGAACCTCTTCTCACCTTCCACCTCCTCACTTCCACCTCCCCCCGCGATCTCGCGCCCCGCCCCACTCTTCCCCACCTGTGAGAGTGCTGGGCTCCACCATGGCCGGCTCCGCGCGTGTCGCTCTCGGCGCCTCAGTGGCGGCACTGACCACGGCAGGAGCACCTGAGCCCGGCGGGAGCCCTACCGCGGGGGCGGTGACGGCTTGGGGCGGCTTGGACGAGGACGAAGCCGGGAGATTTTTGGGATCTCACAGCTAGGCCTCCAACCTAGTAGCTTCTTGTTCCTAGTATAGTAATGCCTGGAGCGCGGTTTGTTCGTAGCGTTCTTGTTCCGTTCGTAGCGATGCCCTTTGTTCCGTTCGCAGCGTTCTTGGTACGGCCCTGCCCAGAATTGGTCATCCAGCTTCGACCTCTTTTGGACCTCTTGGGAGTGCCGAGTCGTGACCTTTCCACAGGCCACTTTTGACTGAACCAACGCCAACGGTGATCTCAAAGGGTCACCTGAAGAACCAGGAGGAAGTTCGACTTCGTGGTCAGGCAAAATGCCCTCTTGAGCTGAAAGGGCAAGGCTTCGCATGCACACGAAGGCATCGAAGGCATGTAGCTATATTAGACCCCAAAGCCTGTCCACTCTTGCCTTTTGAACAAGCTTCCGTGTGAAGCCGAGGGAGTGCATTACCACATTACCAGACACTTTTGGTTTGTCAATTTGGGTCAAGATGTCCAGAGGGTATCAAAATGATTCAAAATGTATGGTTTTCCTTCTGGTTAATGGTGGCGCCTTTCTCAAGACACAGCTTAGGGCCAAGGTTGTAAAAGAAGCACTTGCCAAAACTGCGGGGTTCTGCGTCGTTAGGGCGAACTCCAATGGTCTCTGAGGAAAAGGCCATGAATGACACATTAATATTCTTTGATGAAGCGTTCAGCATCTATATCAAGTGAGAAAACCTTAGTCTCGCAAGTTTCAGATTGAAGGAGTAGGAGTGCTACTTCTGAGAAAGCAAGTGACTCGCTTGCCCTTCTTGTTGTTCTGTCCCAGCCACCTCCAGTTGCCACCGGCGCCGCCTCCACCAGCTCCGACCTATTGCCGAAGAGCGGAGTGGGCGGAGCGGGCGACTACAAAGGTTGCCCGCCCTGGGGATGTGTATAATATCATCCCCAGGTTGTTAAATCTTGGGTATATCCTAATAGCTGTAACAGTGGATGATGATGGTTAGTAAAGTAAAGGCGTGTCCAAAAATAGTGATGATATATTCCCAGGTTGTTCACAATCTCATACTGTTCTGTCTAGGAAACGCCTTCCGCAGAGCTGGGAGTCTTGAAATTGAATGATCAGGACCTCGGTCATTGGTGGGATGTCGTTTCCTAAGCGCATTCGATCCTGGTTGGATGCACCCTGCAGAATGAAGTCCTTTAACTTTGAACATCAGACCTAGATACATCATTTGCCTCTCACGAAGCAAGTAACGAGCAAACTGGTCTCTGACGTTGGGCATTCGCAGAAACCCCGCAGAAATGGCCTTGATTGGTTCCTTCAAAACCACGGCAGCCTCCTCTTTGGCTGCGCCTTGTGACCAATGTCACGAAGCTTGTGACAAATGTATCCGGCTTCGCAGACCTTGGATTCCCAGGATTCCCAGCACCTGCACCCCCTCAAAAAATCCAGAAGCATCAAAGAAGGGATCGCCAGAACTCCAGGCTCATCTGACCAATGGCCACCCCATCGAAGTCTCAGTCTCGCTTTCCCGGCGCCGGAGGCCTCACTGAGCCCACCGAGCTCACTGCTGGGGCCTCGAACGTCCGAGCGACCGAGTCGAAAGGGTCGGCCAAGGGTCGACCGCTGGTGTCGGAAGCCTGGAAGAAAGACAGAAAAAGGCGCCCCGGTGAAACTGGGGATTGAACGGTTGTGATATGTTTTTCGGGAAAATACCAGATATCATCATATCATCTGATCAGCAAAACCAGGTGAGCTCCGAGGGCCATGCCATGAAAAAGAAAGCGACGAAGCTGCAACTTCAAATCTCTCTTGTCCTGTTCAAGGAACGACTGAACTTATCGTATACTTGGGAAGAAGAAGGAAGAAGGAACGAGGGGAGTCAATGCCAGGTATTGTAGACAAACCGCACGAGATGGTGCTTCACGAGATGCGCCAATGCGGGGTATATGTTCGTCGTACTTGTCAACCAAGCAGCTGGCCGGACCGAGATGACGCCATCGGACTGCTTCCAATGGCCTTCAGCATCCTTCGGCTCTATAAACAATACATAAAAGAATCCTTGGCTTTTTTTTTGTGGCCATCCCTTATATATGGTGCAAATATCGATGACCTCTTTTGATGAATAGAAACGCCCCCGTCTCCTGAAGGGTGCAAGATTCATGGGATTCATCCTCATTCATCCACCGGATTTACTCCTTCGAAACAGCCAAAAACACCTTCCCCACCTCTGAGACCAAAACACCTTCCCCACCTCTGAGACCATCTGAGACTTCTGGAGAACCCCTCACCGTTCCCCACACCCCACCGGACTCCGGGCGCGCCTCGCTGGCGACCTCCTTCCGGACCGGCTCCGCGTCGGACCTCGCGGCCGAACGGCCGGTTCCGGCCAACCGGTGGGGGCGAATCGGCCATTCAAGGAGAGGGTTTGGCTTCCCAAGAGAGGCTGAGTGACCGTAAATAGAAAACCATTCAAACCATTCTGGGGTACCTATGGGATAGTCTTCAACCTCTCTTGCTTTGGCTTCGGTTGTTTTTTGGTTCAAGACTTTGGTGCGTGCGTGCGAGCTTTGGTGCGTGCTGGAAATTGCGATTTCAGAAATGGAATGAGTTGCAAGATGTTGCAAGATCCTCGAAGGGTCTACTTGGTCTATCGTCTCGTGAAGCCTCCTGTCGACATCCCCAGCCATCAAAACCGACCAAGGCAGTTGCCATCATCAAAAGCATCTCGGTAAATCATCCAGGATTCGCCGAAGGCCGTCTTGCCCGTAGCCGCTTCAAATTATATCATGAATCATAGATGCCCTATGCCGTCCGACGATATTTGGACCGGCTGAAGTCAAGGAAGTTCTCGAAATCCGGTCCGTTTGTGCTCAAGAATGTTCGAGCTTTATATAGTCGTCTGACCGACCTTGGAGTCATGCACAGCTCCAACAGCTCTGCGGGAGGGAAGTCCCGTTGAAGTCTTTTTTCGCTGCAGAAGTCGACCCAAACACGACACATGGGACTGACATATTGACATACAGACAGGGGTGGTTGAAGTCGCGGTTGTAGGTAAAAGATTCCAGTCTCATGGAGCTGCAGAAATATACAAACATGAAAGGACGGGAAGAATGTCATCTTCCGAGAAGCTCAAAAACATGTCTCCACCCCACAAACTCTCCACCACCCTGCCCCTTCAAAACTGCCCCCCCCAAATATAAATATGTGCCACACCCCAAACATGGGTTCCGCCGCCCCAACTCCGTGCCGCCCAAGACCGAAGGTTCCGCGTTCCTTTGGGTTGTATCTCTCACTGAGCCCAAGGGCAATCCGGCTTGAGCCAGTCGCAGGCGCAGCCGCATGTTCTCCATGCGCATGTGCTGCAACTCCGCCTCTAAACGTGCGGCGCCGCACGCGACGCAACCCGCGGGCAAAACGGCGTCGCTCGCACGCTCGGCCACGCGTCTCCGAAACCCGTGGCACGATGTACGTCGGATGGGTTTTGGAAGAAAAACGAGAAGAGCAGAAGACACATAGAAGACACAAATGAGCTGGGCTACTTAGGATTGGTCATCTTGGGAGGCTTCTTGCGGTGCTCATATGATCCAGAACTTCTCGAAGTGGTTGAAAATTACATGGTGTTGAAAGGAAAAGCTGTGACTCAGGGTGGTAGATGACGACGAGGATGAGGAGGAAAATCGAAGAACGCGGAGGACATGGATTGATTAAAGGATTCGGGGGTGTGCAGCTGCTGCATGCAATCTCCTTCTGTCCAAAAACCCATGTCAATTCTTCAATGTAGGCTCTTGATTATATATTTCACCCGCCGAGCCTGAAGAGGTTTTTCAATCCAAATGGTGTGGGTTTATTAATCAAGACTCTACACTAGGGCTGCCAGAACCAATGTTATTCTGTTCTATAGAGAGCATCGAACTGAAATGTTCTGAACATGTTTTCTCTCGTTCCAAAACCAAAACCCTCTGAAAAAAAAATAAAACACTCACAGAGTCCCATTCTGCCGAGACCTCTTTCCTCTTTCAGGCCATTCGGGAGCCGTCAAAAACGGGAGCCGTTCCGCACCCCGTCGTGGCTGCTCTCGTTCCGCACGCCGCGGCACCCGAGTGGATCGAAGCAAGCACGAGGACCCACGTCCATCGTGGCTTGACGCATCGTGGCGTCTCTGTTTGGGTGAAAAAATGCCGGCCTGGCCATTGCCCGCGGAAAACACACTGCTCTACAAGTCGATGATTTCTTCGATTTCGCACAGAGACAGGGCTGGCCATCGCAGTTCTGGCAGCGCTGCCAACCACAGCGGGTCAGGTTTGTTCACTCCCAGAGGCGACCCTGGAACCGAACCAACTGCTACATGTTGGTGAAGGCTCCATGTCACCCGTTCGTTGTGAGGGTCACCACCGCGAACGGGTTGGGTGCCACTGAGCCGACCTTCACTCCTAGAGATGTAGAACTTGAGGAAAGAACTTCTTCAGGATCACCACCGTGGATCCGAACCTTGGCGCAATGTGAGGTTCCAGGCTGGACATGGGAACCGCCTTCGGAACCGCGCTCTCGCCCAAGGTAAGCTGGGAGAGTGGAGATCGCTGGTGAAGCCAAACAAAAGCATCTATAGATAGGTAACCCATGGTGTCCCCACAACGGAGATGTGCCTAGTAGCCTCTTTGTCGCTGGGTCGACCTGGCCATGGATGTGGACTTACAGACCAAATACCTCGTCGGATGGCGGATAGAACGAGGCCGAACCAGTGACGTCGGGATCTGTTCCAGATCTTCAGAGTTTTCGATGACGTGGGATGTCCAGACATGTCGGAGCATGGTAGAGCATGGGGGGAGCAATGGAATGGGGCCGCCCTGTTAAGAAACCCTAATGGAAAGGGGCCTATGAATTCTTGAGTGGCACCTATTCGATTTTTGTCGCAGTGAAATGGGTCAATGCTTTTTGGCAGTGCAATTTGCAAGTATATCGATTGCACGATGTGCTTTCGCCACTTGAATGTTACAGCACAGTCAGGTGCTTTCACAAGGTGCTTTCGCAAGCTTTCACAGGATCGATTGCTCTGAACAATGCTTACGTGGCACTTTAATGAGTTCCACCTTTGTATAAATTCTGTCTTAAAAGTCGTTGGCCCAGCTGTGCCCCAGAACGGCTGATGCTGGAAGAACACCGAAGAGAGTCATCTGGGTCGATTGATCAAATACTTCGTAGGCGCCAGTTACCCATACACTCCATGTATGGAATATATTCCTACATTGACCCCCCCCAACCATCCCAATGTATGTCAATATGACATACATGGAGCGTCTGGGTTATGTAGCATGTCTTTTTGGGCACGCCCTGGCAACGCTTCACGGTTCAATCGGCGCCACTGGGTCTCTTCACGAGCCCGGCAGGTTCCCAGAAACCTGGGGCCCCTGTTTTTTCCAAAGGAACCGGGAAAAACCACCCAAAGTTAAGAGAGTTGGGGGAAAGGGAAAGGGGACGCCAAAACTGGGGTGCCCCACAATAATTGGACGGCACCCAGCACCAAGACGCCATAAGCGCCGTAGGTCATCTCCTGGAACGAAAGCTTTCAAAAAGACCCGCGTGGTATTTTGGGAGTCGACGGTCGGCGATTTAAAGATGATCCGAGTCCAATGTCCGGACACCTTCGCTGGTGCCAAAGATTGTCGAACTGGACTTTCTAAGGTGATGGGTCTGAACTTCCAGAAGCTCTGCCCATGGGTGCTCATCGACTTTTATCCCATTTTCCGCATCTCGCCAGAGAATCCAGTAGAATGACGAGCTTGACCCCGGCTCTGTAGTGGTGGAGTTATAGACTTCCAGGTCGGATGGTGTTGAGCACCCCGGTTCAGTCATGGCTCATACTAGCAGTAACGGGGAGGTCCATGAGGCTCTCCAATGGTCGGTCCGATGGTGTGTATAACTGTAAGTTGAGCACCAACGCATCACAGGAGAACATGACCAACGCATCACAGAGATCTGTTGCGCACCAAACCTCTGAAAAACCTGACCAGCTTGCAAGTCTTGCAAGTCTTGCGTGCACGGCGGCAGCAGTGCAGCGCTTGCGCCAAGGCACCAAACCTCTTAAAAAACCGCCTATAAGTTCCTTTACATGTCTTCACAGATTGGGCCAAAGTGAGCAGAAACTGGTCACCACCTTTTTCACAGACTCCCGCATGGGCGGAGAAGTCCGAACACACACTCTGCCACAGCGAATCAAACTCCGAATCGCTGGATATGTTTTTTAGAAGAACTGCCAAACATTTGGAAGGTCACACGCCTTTAACACTCTTCGCCCACCCACTTGTGGTTCTTCCACCCGAATGCCGTTCCACCCGAATTGCCTCGCCTTGGGGCCGAACTCCTCGTGGTCCGAGGACCTCATGTCAAAGGCGACACCGAAGAGATGCGTATGAACCCGGGGAGTCGGTCAAACTATAAAAAGAATGGTCTGACGAACGGTGACCTGAGTTCGGGAACTTCCTGGATCCTTCAGCCGGTCAAAGAAATCGTCGAACTGGACTTCTAGGGTGAAAGGTGTTCGGAAAATGAGTCTGTAGAGTGTTGAGCTCGACAAAAAGAGAACTCTACGGCATGTTTTGGCCTGAAGATCGACAGTAAACGCAGCAGTGGTTTGGTGAAAGGGCAAGTCTCGACAAGTCGAGCACACCCAGCAGTGCCCCCAAGTTCATCATGGTACCGAAACCTCTTCTCACTTGTCCATCTGCAATTCCGACACAAATACGGAGCGTTCAGTCACTACAATCTACAAAAAAAGATTCAGCCTTGTAGAATAGAGTAGCTGGCACAAGCGATATTAAACATCACAAAAAGCAAACATTCAACTATACTCTGCAGAAGAATACCTACTCAGAAGAATTACTCTCATTCGATACTCGCCCGTATCCCGTGCCTCCAATAACCCTCTGAATCCCGGAAGATTCCGGATGGTCGAAGGATGGTCGAATCAGGGTGCGCACGTCGCAGGTTCCTCCTATCGGTCAGAGACCGAACATTCCTTCGTCCAAACACAAACGGAGGAGACGACCACGATCGGTCTCCACCAACTTCTTGCGGTTCCACCGGTGTTCTTCCACCGAAACAAACGTTCCAAGGAACTGCTTTTGCCCCGCGCAGTAAAGCCTCGAAAGACGAGCAGCGAAGCGGCCGAACCCGGCGATGCCTCCGGATGCCTCCCATCGAACTGGAATGCCGGACGGTCAGACATCGTCTGATATCTAAACGAGTGCATACGAGTAGGGCATGTGTGGATGTTACCAAACGTCTAGGGGTTCTAAATATTTGTTTAAAGTGATGGTGCAACCTCAGACATATGGAGCCTGTTTTTAGTCCTGACAAAGTGTGGCAAGGATCAACATGTTTACATTGACAAACCTGGCAAAGGTGCGGAATAGCAGATCCACCAGATCCTGAAAATGATGCTACTTTCAAAATTTGACCTGGCAATGACCATCCACCATCTAAATCCTTCCGGGCAAACCTCCCTTTTCCACCAAAAAGGCCCTTAAAGGCGCCACATTCCCCCCAACATCCATCCCACCGCATCACCGGCAAAACTGGCCAGCACCAAGATGCAGGATTCCTGGGAAGATCAAGGTGATCATCGCACCCAGCACGGCACCACCCAGGCTGTTCGCCTTAGAAAAGGAGAATGTCCAACACGATCGCGTGAATCCAATCGAGGCATCAATAACGATGTATCAAAAAATGGATGTGATTTGTTTGCATCTTCTTTTGCATCAAATGATTAGAACCAACTCGATACCTTCGCAGTCGGGATGTCTCTTGAAAGCACTGCTCGGGCGCGTGAAGGTGGTTTCACGCGGGCCTTGCGGATATGCGTGTTAAAAAACCCATCTCCCAAACCCAAGAGGCTCCAGAACATGCGAAAACCTGATCTTTCAAAAACCCTCTCAGCCATGGCACGAGGCCCAGGTCATGAAAGCAGCAGGCGCCCAGGACGATGACGCTCAAAAGTCCAAAGGTCACCGGAAGGAAGCGATCCTCTCAAGAATCAAATGAAGCACATCTTGGGTCGGGGCTCGTTTTTCAGGTTTGGTTTGGTTCTTCCATCATTTGAGACCCAAAAGCTATCATCAACCCACATCGACCAAAAAAAAAGTAGTATATAATAATGAGAAGAATGTATTGGGAGCACGTTCGAACAGATGTAATATTCCTCTCGAGCCTGTCTGTGGTGTTTTGAAAGCGCGCATGGTTCTCCTTTCTCTGCTGCTTACTATCTTTGTCTGCGGCTTTTCGATTTGTTCGATTCGTCTCTTAAATAAAACTGTGTAGTTGGCTGCGGAGCCCTGATATTTCCACAGCCCTGTTTGAAGATCACACCAGCACATCC